TACTCCCGTCTTCACTTCGAAGGCCTGCGTAAGTTTCCCATTGTGGATTACTTGGCACGCAGTCTAGCATTGTCGTATAACTGTTGGATGAGATGTATGTTTGTCGGTGGCACCCCGTAATAGTGAAGTAGTTGGCAAATCACTTCTCGATCGACGCTGTCAAAGGCCTTTTCAAAGTCGATGAAGTTGAGATAGAGAGGTGACTGACAGAAATAACTGATAGAGATTAATGCAGCGCCAATAGCCAAGTAGTCGATAGGTCTCCTTAGTCACAGAAGTACATAATATCATGATGTTTTGTGCTTTCCGTTATTCATCCACAGTCGATCAATAGATAAGGTAACAACTGGATTATTTTTTTTGTGAAGAAAACATCAACTAAGTATGTTCTAATTGTGGACAAATATAGCCATTTAGTCTTCTATTTAGATATTGTAATAAACTAAACACCTTATTCCTATTATGCGTGACGGTGGGTCTTAATAGCACACTGGCAACAATCTATGTTATGTGTGCAAAGATGCTAGGAAAATTACAATGAGTTTGCTGGTTGTGTAAGTTAATGGTAGTTCTGTTGTTCTTCCTTTTTCCCTACTTCCCAACTATTTTTTAATAAGGTGGAATCTTCTGTTCTTGTTTCTTCCTTTGATTTTCCCCTGTCTTTCATTTTGATTCTCTGGTTTAAAACTGTGCTATCTAATAATAGATGCACCTTTCCCCTAGAGTTAATTTCTATCTACTTTGATGTTTCTTTGTTATCTACAAATGCAATATACTGACCATTATGGTATAGGAAAAAAAGTATGCGTCTCTTGTTTGATTTTGCTCATCAGAAGTGTATACTGACTTCCTGAATTTGTTAGACTGCATATTTGGTCACTAAATACCGGTCCAAGAGGCTGGATGGTCAGTGAGCTCAGTCTCGTAACCTGAAGGCCACAGTTTCGATCCTCGATAGGGTTGTTAGTGTGCACCGATGAAGAGTTCCGGACTGCCTCATCTTGTTTTTTTGTTGAAGTGTGGAACCTTGTATATAAGTGTATTTATTAATGTTCCCACCATACTTGCCGTTTTGTAAGTTGAAAGTTAAGGATGTTTTGAAATCGCGATACAAAGGTGCAGTGCAAATTTGAATGTGACATCCCTTCTTTTAACTGGAAATATTTTGATTACCCTACCTCTTTGCGTGTTTATTTCACTGAAATTGAAATGAAGTCAGTAAATCTTCATTTCTCAAATATGTGAACTCATTTTCATGAAATCGACTGCATTGTTATGTTATGTGAATACATAATATTGAGATTATAGGGTTTTCCTACTGCCTACTAGTCTATTGAATTGAATTTTTGATTTTCCCGTCGATTGATTGGACCGAAGTGCTCGGTCTCAGGTTGAAATGTCGACTTCTTGTGCGGATGCTTCGACGATGTCTGGGTATTTAATTAGTATACAATTGGTGGATGGTGGTTAGCAGTGGAATCCAGGATGCACATTTCGTCCTATTTGGGACTCGTCATCTGGATGTACCTGCATTTCTCAGTGAGTGATGAGGTTCCCACCGAGGCTTGAACCCAGTACCCATAGTTTCAAACGCCAAAGCGTTATCCACTAGACCACTTGGGCCACGAGAGCCACCTCTTGTGCAACGGGTCATATTAATTATTGAATTGAATTTTTGATTTTCCCATCGATTGATTGGACCGAAGTGCTCGGTCTCAGGTTGACATGTCGGCTTCTTGTGGAGATGCTTCGACTAGTCTAGTTCGTTCACATAAATTCTAGTTAATACGCCAAAATATGCTACGTTCTAGGTAGTTAAACGGAAGGAACTCCGTAACTAGAGTTTAGTGATTTCTAGCTTTCATCAGCTTGGCATTTATGAAACTTTCAGGGAATTTATGTCCTTGGGCATTAGGCCACTTGTATCACAACTGATGTCCTGCGAGGCTTCTTGATTAGTGAATTCCTTACCGGTTAGTATTCATGCAATCTGATCCCAGTCTTCCCCAAGTCTTGCCTTCTTCAATCAAATATGTTACATGTGTATATTGCTTAGCCTTGCTAATTTGTTCTAGTTTTCACTAATCAAAGTTCCATTTGGTTCTATGCAAAATATACATGTTATACAACAACACCCCCCCTCGCGTTACGCTGTTTTGTCCATCTCAATTTCACTGTGTGTGTTGTTTCATGAGAAGTTTCATATTCATTATTTTGTTTGTATCTATAAAAGTCAGCTTGCATGTTATAGAGACAAGTTTTTGCAGCCGGTTAAGAAACTATACACCTTAGCCTCTCTCGCTCTACATGCCACCATCTATGCTTCGTTTCCAACCCTGTTGTGTTTCTTTACAAACAACGCATTCCGTTAGGTAGTGAGTTGACATCACTGTTCACTTCACAATCTCATAGAATGGTTTCTGTTTTTAAAACTGATACATGCGTGTGCTCCTCATTATTGTATATCTTTGTCTGAATTTGTTTTTAATTGCCTTATCCGACTTTAATGATTTTATGTCTCAAGTGGTTTAAGTCCTCGTATAGCAAATTGTAATTCGGTATAATATGGCAGTAATATTCATGATGATATCAGTAGCTTATTTTAGTAACCATATGTTGTATTGTGATCCAAAATTGTTGTGTCTGTTGTATAAAATAACTGTGTAGACAATTTTAAAAAAAAATCTCTACTTTAACAGTAGTGTGTCTAAACCACTATTTATTCTAAGTTTCGTCATCTACCGTTAACAATTAGAATGAAATTTTCTCGAGTTCTTTTTTGTGTGACATTATCATGAAGCATTATGTGGAACAATCACTAATCGTACAACAGTATTTCTTATATATTTGTTCATAAAACTTCAAATGAGTTCAAATGTCTGTAGTTAATAGTTAAATTAGTACTGACGGGTTAAAATAACTTGATTAGTCAATTATTAATTCATCAGTTCCTCTGTTTGATCAATTTTCAAAACATCAACTGTTTATTGTCAAGAGATAAAAGGTTTGTGGACAGTATTCACTTGTTTTTTTTAGTTTGTTCTTGTATCCGATTAGATGGAAAATTGTTAAAATCTGTTATTGTGATGTAACAACAAGTTAACTTGTACCACATCTGAGATTATTTCAAAGCATAAGGTGTAATCTATTTATACGGGAAAATGCGTTAAAGTTTCGTGTGACTTTAGCCTCTTTCTTGAAAGACCCGCACACCCACCGACTGGTAGTGTAAAGAAGTTAGGTTTGTAGGAAAATCTGCTTTATTCATAACTTAGAAATCCGCTTTGGCATCTCTTTGATATCTCTCTCCATATTGTGTACCAAGTTTGTGGTTCGATATTCAAGGTATGTCGAAATCATAATTTATGACTGAAGTCATCATCAATTTTTATTTGCATTAAGAAGAGGGCGAGAATGTTAGAGAAGACAGAAAGACAACTTACAAGTCTATATATAGCATCCCAAGAATTTTTGTGGTTGATAAAGTTCAAATCAGCCTTTTATAATCATTATTTCCTTAGGTTCCGAGTGGGGGCGTAGGGCTTCAATAGCACATTTCTACTTCATCCTGTTCCTTTCATCCCTCTTTAGCTGGCTCCAGGATTGCACACATAAGCTCTCATTTCTCCCTCAAACGATCTCCTCAATGTCATCCTTGGACGCCCATCTCGTTGTTTCCTCGCTGTGTCCTTAATCCTGATAAAAAAAGGGAAGGTTTAGCATGTGGCTAGGAACCCTACGCCGGGTGATCAATCCATTCGCTGTACAAACTTCAGTGCATAGAAATCAGCTTATTGAGCTTAAATCACTAATATAAGCGACTATTTAATTGATTTAATCAAAAGCAAAATATTCTTTTGAAGGGAGTGAGAATCTGATCACATTCTCCTTCTACCCACACAAGTCAATTTAATTATGTTTCATCGTAATAAACCCAGAGTTCTCTGCATTTTTTGTCTTTCTCAATTTATCAAACCATATCATTCAACTCGTTTTTCCTTGATTTATCTTTAAGTGAATTTCTTCTCATATTTATACATGGCTCAGCTGTCAACGTGAATTATACGTGTAGCTGAGAGATTCATTGTAATCACCTACATATATAAAAAACACAGAATTTTCCTCGTTTTTACTCCCAGTCAATATTGGTGAAGCTATAGCAATAAAACGACTGAAGCCTGATTTGTGTCCAAAAAGAATCCGTTGTTGGGCTTCAATTACCCTGCAAACTCACTTCTTAATAACTCTTTGTTTTCTAATTTTGTCAGTTTTGTTAGCTTAATTTTTCACTCCACTGGCTCCCTTTATTTTTCGCTTTACTCTCTTAAGAGATAATTTCTCTTGATTTTGTGAGTTCTGCTCGCTGTATTACATCATTAACTTCTCGTCTGACCTCATGTGCACCGAAATTGTGAAATTATGATCTCTTATCTAATTACGTAACTATTGCTAATTTTCTTTTGTTACTACCCCAACAACACAACTGTTAATTAATTTTTTTCAAGAAACCTCCCTCTACAAAGATATATATGTATGTTGTAACACTTTAGACACCCTGTAAATCTTAACGCCTTATTTTACTATGACGCTCTGACAGTATGCCTGGTGGTGGACAAAGGTTCGTTAAGATTGTACACTTTTTATTGTTATTAAAAAAATCAGGTTGTACGCAGCTGATAAGAACCAACGAAATAAAATGGATCCAGATTATTCTGCACAAATGTTTCTTCTTTCTTTGTTCAAATTTATAAAAGGGAATCATTGTATGAAAATATTATTTTTGTCAAAATGTTTGTCTGATGAAGTTGAATATTAAATGGTGGTTTTTGTTAAATCTCAAAACTGAATGATGAATGCACTTTGAAAACGATACTTTCCTATTTTGTATTACCATAAGTCTGTTTAAGCTTAATTTCATCTAAAATAGCTGGTAAATGTCATTGTGTAAATATATTCATTGCTATTTCGATTGTTTTCTTTTGTTGTTTTGTGATTCATAGGAGTCTTACGTGATTTAGTTCGTACCTCTGGAGTTGTTGCTAAACCTGCAAGACCAGCACATCCAAGTAATCAACCTATTCCTGTAGTAAATCAGTCGACAGTAGATCAGTTAGTCAGTTCATCGACTCCATCATCAGCAGCACCATTTATTCATTCAAAAGATATGAGTAACTGTGACAATAATACTCCTACTCCTACTACTACTACTACTACTAATAATAATAATAATAATAATAATAATAATAATAATTCTCAAATATCTGATGAAAATATACATTCCACAGCAACTACAAAAATTGCCAATAACTTATTAAACGATAATGAAGAAAATCAAAAGCTCAAAAATATTACCAATGATAAAACTAATGATTTACTAACGGATATAGCTCGTGCTGCATATAATCGGAGTTGTTCTGTACCTTGTAAAGAATTCTCTAATAATAATAATACTAGTGATTTCAATAAGCCTGGACAAGTACAACCATTACAGCAACAAAATAAAAGTTCCACTAATGGTCATTATTATTTAACGCCTGTGTCACATGATGATAATTCAGTTATCGATTCACCTGATAATCAGATAATGACATCTACTGACACGACCATTGCTACAGATACCAATGATGTTAGTCAACCATTCACGCGTAATTCACTTTACGCTACATTTAATAAGGTAAGTCCTAATAAAGTCGCATATATATGTATATATAATTGATTTCAAAGTACTATATATTTTTGTATAGGTGGCGAAATAAGTGAAACAGTTTTCAAATAAATGTACTCCTTAACACAAGTAATTGCTGCTGTTCATCAGCTCTAGAAAGTGGTTCTGAAACTCTAGTCATAGGATTCTGAACAGCCATAAACACTTTTTACTTGCTGTGATGTTTCAGGTATTCATAATATGGAATTACTTGTGTTCTGTATTTTAATAATTGAAACACTTAGTGGTTGATATTTTTAGTTTACTATAACAGTACTACAAGCTGCTTCTGTTATTATGAGACTATGTATTATTATTGTTCCCTTGGGTTCATAGTTGAACATAGGGCTTCAACTGCACGTCTCCAATTGCTTCTGTCTTCTGCTGTACTTTTCACATGCCACCATTTTAGTCCATACTGTTTCAACTCCTCTTCACACGATCTCCTCCATGTCACTCTTGCACTGAAGTCCCACTCGCCTCTTCCCTTTCAGGTTACATTCGAGTGCTTGACGCGCGATGTCACCCTGCGGCCTCCTCAGCGAGTGTCCATCCAATCCATCTCCACTTTCTCCTGCATATTTGTTGGTTGGCGATTGGTTCTTGTTTTGTTTGTTCCCACAGTTTCTTGTTGGCGATTCTTTCCAGTGCGGCCATTTGTCCTTCAGTGTAGATCCAGCGAAGACAGTTATAGGTTGATAAAGGTCTGCAACAGGCTGTTGGAAATATTCTTTGTGACCCGCCCGCCCTCCAAGTTTCTGATCCGATCCGTATAGAAGAACTGACTTGACGTTTGCATTGAAAATCCTACCGAATTTTGTTGTTGATGGTGGCTGAGTGACGAATATTTCCAGATTGGTTTCAGGTTGGTGAATGTGTTCCTCGCTCGCCTTCCTGATTCTCGCTAGATTCGACATCCTTGTCCGTTCCGACTGTCTGTAGTTGAGACAATGCTCCCTAGATAATGAAGTGAATGAAGTAACCTCTTTCGAATCCCTCCGGTTGATGGTGATTGGCGCTGGATGTTGCTGCTGTTGTTGTTGTTGGTTGGTTATTTTCATAATCTCCATCTTGTCTATGTCCACTTGGAGTCCTGTCTTGACTACCTGCTTCTTCGACCAGTTTGTGGGTTTTTGCTTGTAAGTCTTCGATTTTGTGACAGTGACATCAAACATAAATCATCCACGCGCGAAATCCAGGTCTTCTAGGTTCTTCGCGTCTGTCTATCCAGGATATCCCTCTCTTCTCGTTTCCCACTGTCTGACGCTGCATGATCCAGTCCACCACAATTAGGAATATCATCGGTGATAAATAATAAGCACCCTTGTCTGACTGACTTCTGTGTTTACTCGAAACGCCTCGTTGAGTTTTCCGCTGTGGATCACTTGACATGTGCCGTTGTCTTACAGCTGTTGAATAAGGTTGATGAATATTTGGGGTATGCCGTAGTACTCGAGTAGTTTCCAAATTACTTCGCGGTCAACGCTGTCTGTCGGAGGTCTTCTCGAAGTCTGTAAAGTTGAGGTAGAGGTTTGATTGCCATTCCATGCGTTAAGTATATCTCCTCAGTGAGAACACTATTGCCCAACACCAGGAATGCTGATGCATCTACTTAATTAGTCCCATAAAAGCATGGAGCGCACGTCCTTGATTTGACTACTCAAACCACCATCAAGCGAATAACTCCTCACAAAGCCTAGTCCACCTATCGTGGAAACTATTGACTGGCATTTTTTGTCTGACCCCTCTATAGTCTGTCTTAATCTCATCTTCACAAGATTCTTTCTATATGTACGTACCAAAGCAGTTACATTGAAGGGACTGTGAGAAGGGTTATAGTCCGCATTCTGAACACATACCAAAAAACCTGAGTCTGACGGGTCTCGTAGGTGCGCCATCTATTCCACACTGACCATGTTGTGGACAATCTGAAGGCTTTCAAAATAATCAGCTGGCGAAAGAAATTTAGCTTCCCACATTTTACTGAGGTAATCGCCATCAAGTGATTAAAATCAAACCTATGTACGCAGAAAGAGACAGTGGTGAATCTCGTACTACCTTGGTTGATAACTAGGTATACAAATTTGATTACGTCATCATCATCTGTCATTTTTAGAAACCTTGATCTTTTATCTAAACATGACTCACTCTACCCCTCTTTTTTGCTATCGTCCGTGGCACAGTGGTTAGGACTCCCGCCGACCGTGCATATGGTCCGAGGTTCGATCCCCTGCCGACGCACACCTGATATCTATGGTAAGCCTGCAAAATTTGGGCTACCGATATCCATGCTGTAAATTCCATACTTGTACCAAAAGTACAGTGTGGAATCAAGCTGTAATCAAAAATAAAAAAAATAAATACTTCCGATGATGATGTAACCTGTTAGCTGTTACACTCTTTCTAGTTAAACTTTGTTCCTACCAATATTGTACTCCGTCCGTTTGTTTCCAAGCATATTCGTCTAATTTTCCTCTAAAAAGTCTATCCTTTTCATTCTTAATTACTTAATAACTTAAATCATTCCAGACTAATGTTACTCCTAGTTCCTGTCAATTACCCCTTGTTATCGTGGAAAAAGTATGTTTAAATCTTTTCAGGTTGTAGCCAGTTGAGAAGAATCCTTGGTATAATAAAAAATGGTGTCCTATTGCCTTGGTACATTTGTCGTTCTTGTTTTGTTCAAGTTAATCGCATCAATTTTTGTAAATATGCAACGCCGAATAATAGAGTAGTTGCTCTAGCCTTTCATATCCTTGATTTGGCATCTTTATAAATATATAACCTGTCATACGATTTAATCTGATATCTAAGAAATACATTTTAAAATCGTCTCTCAAAGTTTGTGTAAATGGTTACAGGATTTCATCATCAGCTGACATTGATTAGAGAATCATTGGAAAACCTGGGAGTACTGGGCAGCTTTTTCGTCCTAGTTATTGGAACTCTTCGTCAGTATGCACGCACCCAGGACCTTTTAATTACAAGGTGAGCTCGTAGACCGTTAAACCACTGAGACATGACCCAATAGCCAACCCATGAATTTCAACTTCTGCCAATTCACGACATAGCACGACCTCTAGCCAATGTCTTCAGCGAGTATTTATCCTCACACTCGATAAAAAATTAGGATGAAACAGCTGTCTACTACTCCTACTTTTTCCAGTGGTTCTCTAATGAAATCGTGTAACCAATCAATCAAATCCCTTCAAACCGATACTTGATTATTTCGTAGTTATCTGTCGTCGTAAGCGTAATTTTGCAGACTACCTGTGGGAGACTCTGAATTGCAGATTTGTTATTTAACTTGTAATGAAATCTTTCATCAATCAGACTCTCATTAGATTCCCAAAATGGTATAAGTGTGTATGTTCACTGTTCATGAGACTTATTTTGATGACGCTTTAGGCATATCGGATTGTCTTCCTTGCATCAGCTGTCATACCATTTAGTCACACACACACACAAACTTGTGGCTTGTGTTTATTAATTTGTCTTCTTTCCGTTGAAATTGTTCAAAGAAATTGTAGCGTTTCATCACATGCAATTCCATTTGAAAAAAATATTTCATAAACTCTTGTATGCTTCAACCAATTTATCTTTTTGGTCATCTGTTTCCGTATTCTTACTTCGTAAGCGATATCCTTCGCCGTATATAATGATTGTTATTTAAAGGTATTTTGAAGGAAACATACATTATGGTCTAATATAAACCAGTGACTACACCTCCGTTAAAATTACATACTAGTTGGATAGTTCGCGAAAGGCAAAAAAGGCAAACGAAAAATAAAAATAATTGTGAAACTATTAATAACATAAATAAGAGAGAATATAAGTCATCTACAGTTATACCATATAAAGAGGGGACATCTGAAACTCTCTCCACGTAGGATTCTCAATAAAGCAGGAATTAAGATGGCATTTAAACCTACAAACTCACTCAGAGACAGGCTCTGTAGGTTAAAGGACCCGGTGGACCCAATTAGACAAAATAATATAATTTACAAAATGCCCTGCAATGACTGTGAGGTCAACTACATAGGTCAAACTAGTGGGTCAGGGGTAGTCAGATTGTCAGAACCTAAGAATTTAGCTAAGGTAAGAATGGTTGACCCTGAAAAGATAAGTAATTTAGAAAAAAGCTCAGCAATTGTAGTGCATGCATTAACACACAACCACACAATAGGATGGGAGAGGGTTAAAATTCTAAAAAGTAATCTAGGTAGACGGAGAGAGGGAGAGTGGTTGATTACTGAATCCTTGTTCATCCAGTTTATACACCCAACGCACGCAATAGGAATGACTCATCACTCATATCGGAAATATGGAGGATACTACTACGAATCAAATCAAGTGAAAAATAATGGAACTATATAAATGAAGTTAGGAAGTCGTGTGATTAGCTTGATATGATTATGAGTGGCAATAAATTGTGCTCGAAACGTCATCAGTAAACATTACTGTATAACACTGTGAGACTTTATCAAAACAAATTTTACTCATAATGGAATTACACTCTACCGCAGTGCACAAGTTTTATTCTTATATCAGTATATCTATTTGATTAGTCCCATATAACTAGTCCCAATGACTACCATCCTCCGTCTTTCAAGTAATGTTGAAAATATATATTTCTCTGTACCTTAAATCCGGAATAAATATACCAGTTATGTATCTAAAATCCCCTGTTGTGTAATGAAACGTTAAATAGTGAACAAAGTGAAATTCTTCCCTATGACTGCATCTACCATACTTCATTGCATACTCCAGCGGAAAATAGTACTACCCAAATTTTCAGGTTATACGTGAAATCTATCATATGTACATTGCGCACATGAATACAATGATATGAATTTATATTACATCCAATCCCACTTCTCTCTAGATAAGTTATGTAATGACACTAACTGTTTGTTCATGTGGGCATATGCTGCATCTTTGTGGTTGTAGGGTGTATGTATTGTATGTGTTGTGTACATCAGAGTGAGTGGCGTGAGTGCGTTTCAACAAGAAAACTTGATATAGTAGTTCAAGTCGCCATACTCCTTGCAGCACATGAAGAAATTCAAAAGAACGATAATAAGCAGAAATGTGAGGGAGAAAGGTAAGAACATGGGATGAAATGGGTTTTAGTGGATATAGAAGATGATACCCCACTGAGAACTATATCACAAGTAGTCTCCAGTCATCGCTTCTTAGGATCTCCAGGATGCCTACATCTCCCTATGTGGTTTAAATAAACTGTCAAAGATTTCATGGACTGATTGGAAGTTTTGGTTCGACCACCACTAACTCTTTTCCAACCTGATCTTATGTCAGCTAACATTGCTCACCGAGGAAGGCGATGGCTAGAGATGCATGCGGAACACATGTCCTAGCCATCTGAATCGATGTAACTTCACTATTTCATCAACTGACTTTCCCTCCTTACTTAAATCTCAATATTAAATCTATGTGAATTGTGATGAATTCAGTGATCGGTAAATGCGTTTTATTTCTGTTTTTTCAGCCACACAGTAACGATTAAAACAATTTCTTCATTAATGATTTCATGTGTATACACTTCAATTAAAAATTATTCACCTACGTATATTTTCAATTTCAAAGTTTGTCGTTCGACTTAAAGAATTTATCTGTTTTTGTTTATTCTACAGAAAAGTGTTTTACCGTCAACTACATAAAGGAGATGCGTGTATGTATGTGTGCAGCGTTGTTAAATACTATTTTAACTAACTACATACATTTCTGCAATCCTCGAAGTACAATTCATTATCTCCTATACACACGTATTCGGTACACTTCACAAGCCTATACAGAAAACTTTTATTGTTTTCTGATATTAGAAGTGTTAGCTGGTGATAAATTGTTTGTGGTTTTCTCTACTTATAGAATAAAATATTTAAAAATATCTTTCACCTCATAATAATAATAATCATTGTTATTAATAGTAATAGTGGTATTGCATTAATTATGATGAATTCTTTTGTTTATTTTTCTCAGCGTCCAACTCCATGTCTTTCAACCAAATTGCCATCCATCGGTAGTCTGTCTCAACCGAATAATCCAATGAAGCGTAGTAAGCATCTTTCTATTTGTTGAAAACTGTAATTTTACACTGTGTGATTTTCCCTTTTTCGTGGAAAGACAAATTTAGTCATGCATTGCAAACAGAGCAGGTTAGGTAGGTAGGTTAATCAAAGGCTTCAGTGCATATATACATGTATATACACACAACCTACTTGAATATTGAAACATCAAAACGATACTACCTTTCCCTAGTAAAAGATTTGTACATTTTGATTGATGCATTTTTGTGTTTACCTGTATTACGTAAACATTTCTGATCGTGGTGATTCGATAGGCTGTAAATTTTGGTGATTCATAGCGTTTTACTTGTATAGTGTGTGTGTGTGTTTATTTATCCTTCATTTGTGGTAGATATTTCACAGATCAGTTACACGAAATTGTGGAAAATCTGTCGAAAAAAACATTTCAAGGTGTATATACATATGAAAAGAATGTAGTCATGACTAGTAATCACAAATATTTAAAGAATTTTCCAAAAGTAGGAACAAAGAGTATTTCGTTCTTCAGAGATAAATAATAGCCTCTATTAGTGTGAAATGGTCTATACTTAACTATGCTTGCTTAAAGAGTCACGATTTAGTTAAGGCAGTGTGACTTGTCATTTCTACTCCGTGGAGTTTTTTTTATCTTCCTGAGTTGGCTACATGGATAGTTCTTATCCCTCCAGTAGGGATTGCTCTTCTTCTGAGATCAGGTGTTTTGATCTAATTCCCGTTTAGCGTGAACCACTTACTATGAATTGGTTTATTTATGCATCATATCTCGTTTCTTAGTGTATATAATTGGATGATGTGCTTGGATGTCAATTAGGATAATAATTCTATCATCAGCCTCACACACAGGCGTATGAATGAGTATAATTACATAGCGATGGACATAAGCGATGATTTATCCTTTAAAATTCTTTACAGGATCATCATATCTAACCATTCCAAAAACTATTCTATAGTCTAATAGTAAGGGAATATGGTTTTAATTATTCCACGAACTATCAGTTTGTTGATGATACAGAGCTCATATGACAATTGCTGTCAGTGAATACGTGATCTCTGTTTCATGGCTTGATTGCAGCTGCGTCCAATCGTTTAGGATTTCGTGTGGTTATATGTTGAAGTAAACGAATATCTTTATGTATAAATGGATAACTGATGATGGGCAATAAAGCGTCACGTTTTTATTACATGATTTTTTTCTACAAGTAAAACTTCTAATGGAAATATCACACTTCAATGCTAAAAATGTCTTTCTACATATAAACATGGCATAGGCAAATCACGTATGTAACAGAAAGATTTGTGGGTTTATGATGTGATTATTGGAAATCATATGTGCTTCCATGTGACAACGAGACCGCGCTAATATGTGTATTATAATATTCTACATTCGACTTTTTATTCAAAACTCTGGTGTCGTTCAAACCTTTTGTAGAATCATCTTAAAGGTATATCTTTAAAATTGAGATGACTAATGTGTCTTCAGGGAGTAAAGCTCACCATGTCTAAATCTGTATTTAACGACTCTACCCCACTATTCTCCTGCTTTGGTAACAAACCAGTATATGATAGTGGATGGTTGGGGGCAACCGGCCACAGGAAGCCTTGGACCTAGGTTTCGTGCTAGTTGGCACTCACCAGTCACCAAGGCATATCTGAAACCTTGGAGGAATATATGTCCCTTCTGAGATTCGAACCAGCGTCACCCAGTGCTGCAGTCAGAGACGTAACCACTGAGCTATTCGGGCTCGTGATTGACCTCCTGTAGGACTGTAGTGGGTAGTTTGATTAGACACTAGTAACTAGTGGGATGCGTCTAGTCCTCTGATTGGTGCAGACCGAATTCTATCAGTCAGGTTTGTAATGTGGTCACCATTCTAGGTGGCTCGCAATCACGATACACATTGGTTTAATGATACTGGATGGTTGGAGGTAATCGGTTGCAGATACGCCTTGCTGACTGGTGAGTGCCGACTAGCACGAAACCTAGGTCAAGCAAGGCTTCCTGTGGCCGATTGCCGCCAGCCATCCAATATCATCAAATCAATGTGCACCATGATGACGAGCTCCCTAGAATGGTGGCCACATTACAAACCTGACTGATAGAATTCAGTCTGCACCAATGAGACTACTAGACACACCACACTAGTTACTATTGTCGAATCAAACAAACCATTGTATATTCAACTCGATATTTCTGCAGCTGTGGGGTGGTGGTGGTGGTGTGTGTAGACCGTTTCGTTTTCCAGCTCCGATATATTCCTGTCAGCATACCAGTTTTCTTAAATCTCCCTCAGTCGTTTTGTGCGTCGATGGCACAGTGGTTAGGACTCTCGCCGACCATGCACATGGTCCGGGGTTCGAGCCCACGCCGACGCACACCTGATATCTATGGTCGGCCTGCGAATTTCGGGCTACCGATATCCATGCTGAAAATTCCATACTTGTACCAAAAATACAGTGTGGAATCAAGCTGTAATAAAAATTAAAAAATAAATAAATACTCAATAAGCACTTGCGGACATAAAATTGATTTAACTGTAAATCATCTTGCCAAGTGCTTCTTATATCGTGTGTCTTCTAGAATAGTTTTTGTTTTTTCAACTTCATTCTCTGAAATGCAACTTTAAAATATTCTGTGTGTTCTTGAGCATTCGAATGTTTTAATTTCATTATCTTCTTGTTCATCTATCTTGTTTTTTTTTTATTATACTCTAGTGGGGGCAAAATCACCTCGAATGAATTCTACTGGTGATATTAATTTGTCACAAGTTACACTGCCATCATTACGATCGGAATTTGAAAAGCGTAAACGTTCCCTATCTTCTGTCAATCCTGCAGATGTGTCTGAAATGTCCAAAATTGAAAAAGCGTATGTTTTACACATATATATTTGATCTTTTCAATGTTTTTATATTTTGTTTTATTTTATCCTGTAAAACGAGATTATTCTAACTGATTTGCAATTGCCTAATGAACTATGCTTTTAACATTATCAAATACCATACTGTATTGCTCTTATCATTTATAATTATAAGAGAGAGAGTCGATATTTTCTATACATTCTGCTACTTCAAATCACCGAAAATACCCATTGAGTTATGATGAAAATAAAAGACAATTCAGGGGAAAAAAATTTTTATGTATCGATAAAATCATCTCAACAGGCTGTACAGTAGTATTTATATCCACCAAAAGTGTTTAGTTGTCCGTTATTGAGTAATAGGGGGGGGGGTTGACAATTGATATAATTACTTAGAAGTGGCTTCAAAAGTACAAAAATACCAGTTACAAATTGCGTCATACTCAATGGCATAAATGAAGAAAGAGTTAGAAATTTGAAAGAGAGTTAAACTTGTTGTTGAGTGAGAAGGGAGATAGTTAAGTGTCCATTTAACAGGTGTGAAGAGGGTGAGAAAACGTATAAAAGCAACCTGTAAGAGTGGTAATAGTGAATTAATTATTAAAGTTGAAGCAAACAAACCTGACCATTAAAAATAAAAAGTTTACAGGGAACGACTAATGAAGAGATTATGACCATGGTGGAATAAAAGACTGAACAAACTCTTTCTGTATACGGAGTCTGGGGTTGTATTGACGAATTGTCAACACCTCCGTCATACACAAATGCTGGAACTTGACGCCATTTTTCCCATTTGGCCTCACCTTTTAAATAATTATGAAAGATGATTCTGGTGGAACTGCGTGGCTTTATTTCACCAAGTACTCGATGATTGTACTAGTAACTGTCTTTCACTCATCTTTTGATAACCACGCTGGATAATGTTCACGGAGGCGTTCATAAACAAACATTGAAGCGGCCGAAAGCTGCAGTTTATCCTTCACATATCCACTATTTATTTTTCGGCTGTAGACATTGATCCGTGGGTAAACCGAAAAGAACGCTTTCGTCAGTGATCTGGATAAGTGGTTCTTTCAGAATATCAGCTATGACATCACCTTTAAATTCAATGTTCATGAATAGCAGTTCCTTTAACACCGTCTGGGTTCTTTAGGCTTTCTGGTTTATTTTCATCTTTTTCTCGATAAATCTTGAATGATATCCATTTACACTTGTTAAGTGGACACTCAACTACCTTTCTTCTCACTCAACAACACTATTAGCCGTATCAAATTTCTAAGACTTTCTTCCTCTGTGCCTTTGAGTTGTGCGTAATTTATAACTTTCGAAGCCACTTCTAAGTAATTACATCAAATATGTCACCCCATATTAATCAATGATGAACTACTATACATTTTTGGTAAATATAAATACCTATTTAAGCATTTAGAAAAAAACAACAGAATATGCGAAGAAATATATTCCTTTTCAATTAGTTCCTCATCATGACTAAACGAACAGACGGGTCAATATGCAAACGTTTGCACAGAAAACCTACTTCCACTGAACAATGTACTCATTTCCTGAGCTTCGTACCTTTACAGTACAGTGGATATCTGGTTCACCGGGCTAGAGTTATCTGTTCAAATGAGACAGTGGACGAAGAATTAGATAATATTCGCATTCTATTAAGTGGAAAGTTAAAAGCCGAAGATGCTAACTGTTCTAAAGAATCAGTCTTCCTAATATTACAGTTGACGGGTGATATCAATAGCGAGATATTATCACAACGTCCGCGAAGGGCCTTCAAAAGGACTTTCAACGCAACTAAGCTATGTTGTATATTCATTAACCGACCAATAATTAGTTCAAAAAATAAAGATAAACTGCTCTGTTTCGTCTCTTCCATGTGTATTTGACAGTTTAACTGCCCGTGCGGAGCTAGTTACATAGGACATACAATTAGGTAAATTCATCGTAGAATTTCTGAATACCTCCCATGTTGGTTTGGCAAAGGTCCGAACAAAGCTATGCGCAGCTCAATACTAGCTCATCTCTTCGATACTGGACATCAAGTCGACTCTAGCAATGCTTTTAAAGTTAGTTGTCGTATATCAACCAACCTCTCGCATGGTCCACTAGTACGACTTCTACAATAAGCAGAGGCAGTCAGAATTCTTCTGAACAAGCCGTATCTGTGTGTTCAAAAGAAATTTGTACAGCCACTTTCTTCGCCATGGCCAGCTACATTAATATATATTAAGTTTTTAAAACAATTTTTGTAACTGTCTTTTGACTTTGTTAATTTTTTACAATTCTAGCTAATTCTATTAACTTGTTTGTATTTTAAGTATTTTTTCTTAGTCATCATTATTTTACAGATTTCTTGATTACGTAACAACTTGTTGCTAACGCCTAAGAATCGACTTATGTTGAATTCCATAACTGATTCTCACCCCTCCTTTAAAACTTGGATATCTTGTTAATCACATGTATCAGTTAATTGTTTTGATGACCTTTAACCTCTTCATTTCACCCCTGCCTACACGTTAAACTGATTAACTGAAATAACCACTTTATTGGTAAAAAATTTTGATGTAAAAAAAACCATATTTTAGTGTAGAGCAAGCAGATGATGAGGAACTAATTGAAAACGAATGCATATTTCTTCGCTCAATTTGTTGTTTTTTTTTCTCAGTATAAATACGACTGTACAGTCTCTGAAGATGATTTCATCGATGCATAAAAATTCACGTCGCTGAATTGTCTTTTATATTCTTCATAACATATATTTTTGCATGTAAATGAATTATAACTGATATGGATAAATGATACCATCTCATGTTGTCAGTGATGAGTTGATCACTTTTGGGGACAGTGTGTCTTAAGCAGTTCGTCTTTGTCAACAATTATATACTGCAGGTATTATTATTTATTATTTAAACGCACAAAACACTTGGTACAATATGACACCAAGAAAGATGCGCCACACAATAATAGTGAAACAACATGGATCAAAAGTAAAAAAAAAGACATAAGTAGAGAACGGATAAAGAACTTCATATGGAAGGAAAACAGTCATGCTTAACAAGTTTAAACAGTATTCGTTAACCATCATCGGGAAGGGAAGAAAGAAGGAAATTGCAACACGTTTGCCATTGATTACGATTCTTGGCCATATCCGATAAAGTTTCGAGCTATCTCGCAGACCCCAACCAGGGAGTCGTGACGCACCAACTGATGCTAATCTTGCACAAACATCCTTCATCCCACGACGCCACGTCATGAACTGACCACCTCTTCGCCTTTTCCATCCCGTCCCAGGGCTAGCGAACACAGACCTGTACGGAAGCCTCTGGGATGACATTCGCCGCACATGTCCAAGCCACCGGAGCCAGTGTTTCCAGATGATGACACTCAATCAATGGTGATCTCCACTGTGTTTAAACACATGCCGCTGAACCTCAGAATGACTTACGCGATGATGCCATCGGACTCAAACAATCCTGTGGAGACAGCGATGATCGAACACTCAGAGTCGCCGCACATCCTTAGCCTACTCGGAGGGGTCAGGTTTCACAGGCGTAGAACAAGGCAGCCCGCATCGAAGCATTGTACACCCGACCTTTGACAGCCAGGCTAACGTCGCGACGGCGCCAGAGGTGGCTCAAGTTGATGTATGCCACCCTATCCTTCATTATACGGTTGGAAATCTCATCCGTCACCCCTCCGCCTGCATTCACACAACTACCCAGATACACAAACTTATCAATAACCTCAAGCGGTTCACCCGCAAGAGTGAGTGCAGGTACGGGCTCCTGCTAATCTTTTAACAGTACTTTAAACTTAGATGGCGCAAAGTGCATACCATACTTACAGACACAGGTACATGTACTCAATGAATTCCGCTTCCTAAGTAACATCTTGAGTATATGTAGTTTTCGACATGTATACATTGTATACATCCAGTTTTCATCAGGCTTATAATTCTCTTCTGCCTACACACACACACACTTAAAGTCACCTCGAAGGATCCAATTACAGAGTGAGTTACATAGAATAAAGCAAATATTTGCCTTGTGTTGTAATATAAACATATCTAATGCCTAACGTTTTGTATAGTATCAGCCAGCTTTTTTCCTTATTACTCGAACAATATTAACAATATATTAATACATCGTATGATCTTCTTCCCGATGGAGTTTAATGTCATTTTTTATAGAATAATTTACGTATCCATGTTGCATCCAAAAGTTTGCAGCTAACGTGCATATAAGTACTATGGATATTCATACAACTGCATATAATGTGTGTGTGTGTGTGCGTGTGTGGAAAACTATATACATAATGATCAATATTTCAGGAATCTGTTTATTACTCTATTCATGTTAGTGTGAAAATACTTTGTTAAAACCAAAAAATCAGCGCTTATATAAGTACTAATTGCATTGATATCAGTTAATCAATCACAGGTCTTAATTATTTGAGTTCTTTTTTTCTTATCTTACTTTTACTTTTGACCATATACTCTTCAATCATGTCATGTGATCTAAGCATTTGATGAAGAAGTAAGGTGAAGTAAAAGCTCAAGTATGCATATCTTCCTACTGTGTGTGTATATGCAAATGAATTGATGAGAGACAGAGAGTGGAGTTGTAGATAGATATCGCTTATGCATTATTTTCCTTTGACACACTTTTTCTCTCATATTTTTTCGGTTTTTCACTCACTGGCTGGCAATAATGACTTACAGGATTTCATCATGAACTGACATTAGTTAGAGAACCATTGGAAAACCTGGGAGTACTGGACAGCTGTTTCCTCCGTCCTAGTTTGCGACTCTGGCAGTACGCACCCACCGGGATTCGAAACCGGGATCTTCTGGTTACAAGGGGAGCTCGTATACTGTTGAACCACTGGGACCAGATCCAATGGCCCATGAATTCCAACTTCTGCCTATTCACGATATAGCGCGACCCCTAGCCAATGTCTTCGGTGATTATATGTCCTCACACCCGACGTGCTGCACTTTACTGGTCACAACTTCATGGACCATAGGATCGGGTCCCAGTGGCCTAATGGTCTACGAGCTCGCCTTGTAACCAGAAGGTCTTGGGTTCGAACCCTCTGTGGTGGGTGCGTACTGCCGAAGAGCCCCAAAATAGGACGGATTAAACAGCTGTCCAGTACTCCCAGGTTTTCCAATGGTTCTCTAACTGATATCAGCTCATGATGAAATCCTGTAACCAATCAAACAAATCTCTACAAACCAATACTTGAATAATGACTTATTTAGGAAAATTAGGAGTGGCTACTACTAATGTGAGTATTGATTTTTTTATGTATCCATATAGTGAGCTGTCACTAGGATAATGTAGCTAGGATGCGACAGGTGAAAATCAACAAATGGGCAGAAAAAAACAGTGAAGACCGGACTTCAAGTGAACTCAGAGAAGACAGAAGTGATGAAAATACCTAATCAACAACAGCAACAAGCACCACTAACCAACAAATGAAGAAAGATTTAAAGGAGTTCACCTCTTTCACTTACCTAGGCAGTATCAGAACGGTGAGGGATGTCATAGGCAGGATGAGAAAAGCGAAAAAAAACCTTCATTAATCTGAGATCAGTGTGTGATAAACAAAGCTGGAAATTCTGACACTAAAGTGTTAAGTCAATGCTTCCATCTGGTTGAGAGGCTAGCCGCTGAAAACATTTTCCAACAGCTTACTGCAGACTTTTATCAACACCTGCCTTCGCGTAATACGGGGGATCAGTTGGGCAAAAAGGATCGGTAGCAAGGCACTGTGGCAACAAAACAATTAAGAACCTATCGCTCAATAAATATGCAGAAGAAAATCAAGATGAATTGGGCACACGCTGGTGAGACTTTTGGTTGGCGTCATGTACTAGTCCCACGTAGTGAAGGCTGACAAGTTCGGTGTGAGGCCGAAGGTGACATAAAGGAGGTCGTGTAACAAGGAAATGAAAGCCTCTGGGCAATCGTGGAGCCAGCCAAAAAGGAATACAGAGAACAGATTGGGATGGAGACGTACTGCTGAAGTCATATATTAAACTGGAAACTTAAGGGAATAATAATAAAAGGAAAGATTACATGCCTACCTTCATAACTCTGTAGACACGTTTATTTCACACTAACAGGGGACACTGAGGCAATCTGTGAAGTTGGTAAACACTGTTCTGATTCATTTAGGGAGTTCTTAATAATTTCTTTTCAAAAGAATGGATACTGAACAAAGAATATCCTTTTCGATAACCCCTTCATCATCAGACTCTGAAGTCATACATACATTATAGTGAATGAATGAATGAATTAGTGTTATGAGCAACAATAATGCTGTTTAAATAACATCGAATCAATAATATTGATAGATTACAGCTCAGTAACATCAACATAACAATGAACTGAGTGTCAGAAAAATTAGGAAAGATAATATTACAAATTCATGAATTTATACTCTCCACTGAAGGCTGGTCAGGGCAGAAGTAGTGGTTGGACTTGCTTCTTTTGAACACAGAGCACTGGTTGTTTGAGGCGAATTGCAATAGCCTCTGCTGTTTGGAGCATGTGGTGCTTCGATGATTTTGTCAATTTATAAGTCACCAGGTAGATTATAGAGAAGGATTCTTCAATGGTGGCTGGCTGTCTTTGTGGCCGGTTTGCACCAGATGGTCCAATATCGAACTGTTGATGATTTTTACCACACCTTTACTTAGCCATAGTGGGAGATGTTCTCGAGTGAGTACGAAAAATCAAGTTCGTATAGCAACGGCCAATATAACTCGCTCCACCATCAGCGCAGTTGAATTGGTAGATACAATTTGAAGTGTCCAGCTAGTCTAGGTACTTCATCTTTCAGTCGAGGAGGTAGCACCATCGGTCGTGTAGAGAATATTATGTGTAGTTCGCCAGCATCAAAATAATAATAATAATTTCCTGGAAAGCCGAAGGGCAGCTGACGCGGTAATCACACACTTGATATGGCTTAAAACCAGATGTAGTTTAGTCAAATTATTCACACTTTGGAATTATAGCTCATACTTCTTCTTTTAATATCTTCGTTTTCTTCAGTTTATTATGTAAGTCTTCGGTCGCAGTCATTATTGTTGTATGTGTTCTTGTTTATTAATTCTCTGTGAATTAATTGAAAAGGTTCTAAGGTGAACCAATAGGCAACTGTCATTTTCCTTTGTCATAAAGTGAATCAATGTCTTCCGTCTTACTGAATATACCAAAGTTGAGTTAACTTTATTAAGCTTTCATACTCTTTTTATTGACGTAGCACTATTACTATATTATTATTATTATTTTGATTTTTAGTTTACCTCTAGGAACAACAACTTGGAAAGCTGCTGGAACAGCACGTTCTCAAACACGTAAAGCCAACGATGTTGATAATACTGGTGAAAATGGTATTTCATCGACTAGTACAAAGCCTGAGCAAGAGAATACAACACCTGGACGTGCTGCAGCTCTACGATTATCTTTAGATCAACGCAGACGTGCTATTGAAGTATCCAGGCAACGTGAACGTTTGGCGAGTACTAAAGCAGCTGTTAATAGAAATAATGCAGCTTTTGTTAAACTTCTTCAGGAGCAAGTAGGTTTTTTTTCTGTTAATTTTATCAACTTACTAGAAACTGCAACTTTGCGGATGAATCCATGCTTGTTTTATAAAGGGAGAGCTGTTTTGAAAAACAACTAATATAAATTTCATAGTGATGCGAGAGGTGATTTGGGAGCTACTTCGCTACTACGGGGTGCCACCGACAATCATACATCTCATCCAGCAGTTGTACGACAATGCTGCATGCCAAGCAACCCACAATGGGAAACTTACGGAATCCTTCGAAGTGAAGACGGGAGTAAGACAAGGCTGCCTACTTTCTTCAATGATTTTCCTGATTACAGTAGATTGGATAATGCGACAGATAACGGCGGCCAATGAGGAAACAGGCATAAAATGGACTCACACAAAAGGAGAACTTGGAGGATGTGGACTTCGCGTATGGTGATATATGTCTGATTTCCCACAAACTGGAAGATATGCAAGTGAAAAGCAACAAGTTGACAGAAAAAGCATCCAGTGAAGATAGGACTTCAGGTGAACATAGTTAAAACAGAGGTGATGAAGATTCCTGGCCAACACCAAGAGCAGCAACAACAACAGACAACAATCAGCCAGCATAAATGGGAGGAACCTGAAAGAAACAACCTCCTTTACCAACCTAACTGAGAAGCATCGTTTCAACTACAAGCGGACGGAACTGACGAGGATATCAAAGCCAGAATCGGAAAAGCAAGACAAGCTTTCATTACTCATGTCAAGTCTGTGTGGAGGTCAACAGCACTCAGAATGAAAATGGAAATAAGATCCGGATTTTCAACTTCAATGTGAAGTCAGTGCTACTATACGATTGGATCAGAGACTTGGCCAGCGCGTCATAAAGAGCATCTCATACAAACTTCAGACCTTCATTAACAGTTGTCTTCGCTCAATACTGCCCAAGATCAGATGGCCAGCCAGAAAACATCAGCAACAGGGATCTCTGACAGTGAGCGAACCAACCAGGAATCGATTGTGAAACAAATAGGCAGGACGAAATGGAGATGGATTGGCCATACTCTGAGAAAATAAACCATCAAGTGACATCACTAGACAAGCCATTGCTCGAGTGGAACCCTAAAGCGAAGCGGCGAGTTGGTCGTCAGTGCGAGGGTGACTTGGAGGAGGTCATGTGAAGAGGAGATGAAAGCATGGTGGCGGACCTGGAGCCAGGTGAAAACATTGGTAGAGAAACGAACGCAATGGAGACGCGTGGCTGAAGCCTTATGTTCTTGTAGGAATTAAAGGAAATAATAATATGATCATAATCTGCATGAAGATCTTTATGTGTAGTCAATCAGTGTGAGTAAATTAGCTTCACAGTATACACTACCTGGAAAATGTATTACTAAACAGTGTTAGTTAGAGTCGTAATCTCTAAAGAATTCGACTTATGTTTAATTCAGCAATGTTAATGAGCAACAAACATACTCTAGTATTTTCTTTCTCGGTGTTTTTTTCTTTTGTTTCAATTATCTTACAAATGTCGTTCTACTTTAATTTTCTAGTTTCATCAACGTCGCGATGTTCCAGCGGGAGAAACTAAGCTACCCAGTGATAAAACACCGAAGACTGAAACTACTCCTGTTGCCTCACCGACAAAATCGAACGGACCAGAAAACTTGGTTAGTGCTTGTGTAGATGCAGAATGTATGCATGTTATAACAGATAATCAAGAGATTACTGCATCTACCTCTAAGGTTGGTCAAGCTACAGATTTAGAGGAAGATTCTTCAATGCTGTCATCATCTACGGTTCCGAATTCTAATGAGGTAAGCAACACGATGTTGCCCATTTTACCTTTTATAGACATTTTACTAGAGAAATAGTAAAAAATAGATTTGTGACTACTATAAACTATAAATGTACCATCATCCCACATTCTTTATATAAATATTTCTGTGTTATGCAAAAGGAAAAGTCAGACTTAGCATCCGCCTTTGCCTAATGTGATTTTCAACTGAACGGTGTGGTAATTTTCTTCAGCAACTTCATATAAACGCCTTCGGTGTTCACCTGATTCATCAGTGCGTCGGTGGCACAGCGGTTAGGACTCTCACCGACCATGCACATGGTCCGAGGTTCGATCCCCTGCCGACACATGCACACCTGATATCTATGGTCGGCCTGCGCAATTTGGGCTACCGATATCGCATGCTGAAAATTCTATACCTGTACCAAAAATACTGTGTGGAATCAAGCTGTAACCAAAAAAAATTAGTTAACCTGAGTGGTAAGCTTCACTAATCATGGACGCCTGTAGTTAGTCACCAGTTTCCTTTGTCGCAATATGGATGCCAGATTTGTATGGTATGGCAAAAGTGAAACATACATTTGTTGGCGATTGAATATTTGTTTTACCAGTAGAAACTATTCATAGCGGTTTAGTTACTCTATAATTTATGACTTATTGATATAGGTTTGTGATTATTTGCATACCTACTTGGATTTATGTTGGCTAGCTTTCCTGTAAGCCCTCAGATATAGATTGGGATTAGCAAAGCAGAGTCTTCCTTGTTTCTGTACAAAGAAACACCCACGGGATTTAAGCAGTCGGTTTTCAGCCAGTGGGTCCAGGGTTCGAATCCCTTTCCACCCACTTCACTCCGGACAACTAGGTAAAGTAAAATACTTATCCCTGAAATTTTTTCTTTTCAAAAATAAGCAAGATCGTTAGTTTCTCTAAAGAAGCTAAGATTATCGATTTATCGACTAACCTAACTGTAAAATATCTAACCGTTCCGTAAATTCTTTCGTGAAAATTACTTCATCTAACTTTATTGATTCTATGTATCCTCATTCTCTGGGTTTATAAACAGAATTTCATGACATTTGTTGTTCATCAGAGCTTATCATCTCAGCTTATCAGTCACTGATTTTTATGGGTCATTTATCTTTATATCCAAAGAGTTGTTTAACTGTTGAAATGTACTTTTTCATACGAACAAAGCTAAATCACTTACTAACTAATGTGATAACTAATATACCTGCTGGTCAATTTATTTCTGGACTGTGAGTTTTCCCTCTAGACGACTTTATCGAGCTTCACTTAAAAAACAGCTAGATAGGTTTGTCATAGTGAAACACTAAAGGTGACTCCAAAGAAATTGTTTAGATGAAACATAGTCATATTTCTAGTTTTTACGCTCGCCCACCATGCACATAGTCCGGGGTTCAATCTTGGCTAAGCCAGAAATAATGCTGGTAAAGAGGAAAGAATGTCCATGAGGCTAGCAACCCCATCCTGTAAAATTAAACACTGCTACAAAAACCTCAAGCCACACTAGCTTGAAGCCCTTTGCTTCACTGGCAATGTGAAGGAAAAAAAAACTGAAGTTATATATTCATTCTACCTATTCTTCTTTTAAATACAGAATAAAATGGAATACTGATTTTATGTATCTAAAGGTAATAATTTCATTAAGAGGTCACACCTTAATCAGAAAGATTTGAATAAATCAAAAACAATAGTGGTTTGCTTTGTTCGAATTTTTCTCATGGGGAATGAATGCATGAAGTATCAGAAAGATTGTTGATGATTTACTTTTGCAACTTACCCTCGAGACCACGCTTAAATTCACTAATTCGTAAAATAGGTAAAAGGTCACTGTAATAATGGTTTTAGCATTCTACGTTAATTGGGAGAATGTTTCGTTAGATGGTTGGAGGCAGTCAGCCACAGGAAGCCTTGCTTGACCTAGGTTTCGTGCTAAGTTGGCACTCATCAGTCATCAAGGCGTATCTGCAGCCCAGAAGGAACTCATGTCCCTTCTGATATTCGAACCTGTGTCATCCAGTGCTGCAGTCAGAGACGTTACCACTGAGCTATTCGGGCTCGTGATTGACCTCCTGTAGGACTGTAGTGGGTAGTTTGATTAGACACTAGTAACTAGTGTGATGTGTCTAGTCCTTTCTTTGGTGCATACTGAATTCTATCAGTCTGGTTTGTAATGTGGCCACCACTCTAGTAGCTCTCCATCACGGTGCATATTGATTTGATGATATTAGATGGTTGGAGTCTGAATAGCTCAGTAGTAACGTCTCTGACTGCATAACTCACTGGGTGACGCAGGTTCGAATCTCAGAATGGACATGAATTCCTTCAACGTTTCAGATACGCCTTGCTGATGAGTGCCAACTGGCACGAAACCCTGGGGCCAAGGCTTCCTGTGGACAATTGCCTCCAACTATCTAATGTCATCAAATCAGTGTGTGCACCATGATGGCGAGCTACCTAGAATGGTGGCCACATTGCAAAAACCTGACTGATAGAATTCAGTCTGCACCAAAAAAAGAGAGGACTAGACACATCACACTAGTTACTAGTGTCCAATCAGAATGTTTCATTCCCATCAGGGGATATCATCATGTCCGTTTATATCTGACGATACCATTATTACTGATACTATAACTTTAGTTAAAATTTTGTTCTTCGTTATAATTCAAGCGTGCGGATCCGAATTTTTAAAATATACTAAGTGTTCTTGATCAAAGATTCATCTAAAGGAAACCAACATGAAAAAGGTAATCAACTAGTCTCAATACTGGTCTCCATTCCACCGACTAAACTAAAGAAGTCTCTTCATGTGTCATCATCTGGAATCAAAAATCTCCCAGAGGAAAAATTGATCGAAAATTTGATAACTTTCTACAAATTGTTACTTTATTTGAACATCTATGTTTTCAGGTTTCTGATGAAGAATCGTCTAAAGACAGTCAATAATCCTGTGATGGTTTAAGGCAGGAAGGACGTGTACAAGTTTACTTGTTTCTATCTGGTCAGTCCTATAAGCTGTATAATACAAATGCATCTGCAAGCATAGTCTCGTATGTCTACGTTAAAGAGCAGAATGCTTACAAATACACCATACTCCTGTCGACTGTTGAATATCTGACTTACTCCTTATCATCACACACCACTTTTGCAAACTGTTGATCAGCAACCTGTTTAACAGCTTAGCAGCTTGGCTTATTTAGTGCTAACCTTGCCAGTTCAAATCTGATCTCTGTGCATTCATTAAAGATGCGCACTTGCTCTATCGTCCTTCTCCCTATCGCTTTAGTGATCCTTGTATGGATAATTAAAACTGTGCTAACTAAGTAAACATCCTCAAGAATAACCGTTTAATATCACTAAATGAAGGAACAATGAAGTCGACTAAGAAGACGTGGGTGTATCTAAAATGATGTCAAAGTATGCTACTTAATTTTTTTTTCTTTACTTTAAATCTCATTCTCAACAATCTTAGTATTTATCTGTTAGTTAATTTCTGATTATTTTGCTTTGACCCCACTTTCTTTTAGCCTTTACAAGATAATTCTGTAATCATGGAAACTAGTACAACAGTTGCAGCACTGGACGATAATACATATGAACCGACTGAATCTGTAGCTTCTTCGCCTAAATCTCCAAAATCCTGTCGTGAAGAAAATCAAACATACGATTCGCCTACGCTTCCAGTGAAACACTCAAAACACCATGATACAGGTCCTATGAACAACCATCATAGTATTCAGAATTATCAAGATATAGACCAACGTTCATCTGTATCATGTCAGAGATCGAACAGCGATGAATCAGATTATCTTCCATCCAATATGTCAGCACCTCATATTGTCTCACCCCACCCATCCAGTTGGCATCAGTCTTTACCATATCAACGTAAACCAGATACAAGGCGACCAAAGTCTAGATATAGTGAAAGGGAATCTACACCTCAACCAGAATCGTTTACTGCCGATACTCATAATCACCATATTCATCAGTATCCTCATACTCACAAAAGCTCAAAGTATCGAGGTTATGCGGATAAAACATATCCTGGGCATTTTGCTCCATCAGTTGCTTATAATGATCGTGGTTTTGTTTCTGTTGACCCATTCCATGGTGCTCAATCTCCTCGCTTTAGACGGCACCATATCAATCATAAAACTTGTCATTGTGACACATCTTTGCACAATTCTACGTGTGAACAACCAATTCCGCATAAATATCTATCTCAACGGCATTATCGCCGTCACAATCCTGCTAATCAATTGATTCAAAGTGGTAGTTATTGTGATTGTAGTTCAGGTGAAGCAAGTTCAGAAACAGATGATGAATCTAATTGTACTTGTGATGATCATTCTTATCCACACGTGAATCGTATGGCTTACTCTGGACGATTTTCTCATCGATCACTTTCCAGATTATCGAAACCACACTCCAAGTAAGTTGTCATCTACTTCAGCTTATTTAATGTTCCAAATTAAATAGTCATTTATTCAGGTGAATAGTTTTCATGCAACAAATATTTATTTAGAAAACAGAAAGACTGAGCGAAGAAATATTTACTTTTCAATTAGATCCTCATCTCACTCTGACTCTACTCTAATATACACGTATAGCATTTTTATTACAATACACAACAGTTTACCAATCAAGTGGCACTGATATGTTTGTTAACAATAATTCGTCAGTGTCAAAATGTCAATTGGGTGATAATTAACGAAGAAAAAAATCAATACACACAGTTAAAAGGCAGAAATGGTTAGAATAAATTAATTTTACAAGGATAACACGTAATTAAAGATGAAGTGGACAAAATAAATAAAAAATAAAATAATTTGGACAATTATAATTTGTATAATTTTAAAGGTTTACGGGGAGGGGGTTGAAGTAGTCTGATTTATACATTCATGTAACGATGGCCAAGGTAAGGAAAGTGGCTGTACAAATTTCTTCTGAACACACAGGTTTGGCTTCTTCAGGTGGATTCCTATTGCTTCAGCTGTTTGTAGAAGACGAACTCGTAGAGCAAAATTAAAATTAGTAGGAATGCGATAAATAATTTTAAATTCTGTATTAACATCAACCTTACACTCACTATCTACAAGGTGTGCTAAAATAGAGCTACGAAAAGATCTTGTTTGTCCTTTGCTTAACCATGTTGGATGATGTTCGGAAATACGATGAATAATCTGCCTAATTGTACGCCCAATGTAGCTGGCTCCGCAGATTCAGTCAAAACTGGTAGATACACATAGAAGAGGCAAATTTTTAAGTAGTTTATCCTTATTTCTCGAACGTAGAATAGCGGTGGTTGTGAAGAGACAACGTACCTCTGCTGCATAATAAGCTCTTTTAACTACATACTTCAGGCACTGTGTTATTATTTCGCTGATGTTGTCACCGAGGAACTGCAGTTTTATGAACATGGGTTTTTTCGGAAGTGTTGCCTTACTGACTCTCCTAGGTGCTCAATGCATATTTTTCTCAATGAATTTATCTAGATAACCATTTTTCTAAGTAATTCTCTAATAATTTTAAGCTCCTCATTGAGTGATGATACTGACTGCTTTTGTCATTTAACCTCAATAAATCAGTAGTTTAATAATAATTTTGTGGCGCTTTTTAGTCCATATATTTACTTACGAATCCTAATTATATTTATTGAAAGAGAGAAAAATAAGTCATAAGCGGACGCTCATCAGATAATTTAACTAGTTATATATTTCGGGGTGGGAGGCGAGCACTATAAACACCCTTCTCCTTGATATGGGTTTACATTCACCAGTCTTATAGATCATTGTCAATCTCTAGTCTGGATATTCTTTTTTACCTGTCCTGTCTTTGTCCTGTAAATCTACTTAAGGATACTAAGAGATATGCATATAAATAGTTTAGTCTATTTCTCTTTTGTATATGTTTATATTGTATTTCACCTGATACCAATCGAATGAGCTAAGAACGTATTGTGAAATAAAGGTAGCTTATTTTTAGTTAAATAAGAATCATATTTGTCTGCATAAGATTGATAGGGTTTGGCAAAATCCTATTTATATTGTATCATTCCATCACATCGTTGTATTCAGTATAAAAGTATGCAGATTACTCTTCTTGTATTGCTTGAAACTCCTTGGTGCTATCCACAAAATCTATAGCAGTATGTGTTAATAGAGTTGTGATATACTGGTGTAAATGAAATATATGCACTTAACAGTGTGCAGAGAATATATTCATTAACGCAGATGTAATAGTGTAATAACAGACGATAAGGGCTAGGAAACAGATCGTTTATTAAGGTAATCAACACAACATATTTATAGGTTTTCATGTACACATATTATAGATTATTGTTAGCAGAAAAACATAATTCTCTGATTGGTGGTTGTTTCTCACTGAAAGTTAACCTTGCATCTCTTTGTGACTGTTTCTTGAATGTCAGATCATCTATATGCTAACTTTATCCGCCTACACAGTCTTTGTTCTCCTTTTTCTCACGACCAATATTTGTGACATAAACTTCGACGTGAATTACTGTCCACCAATTTTGGCTTACAGCCAGCTCTCACCACAATATACCCAGTTAAGAAATATACCAATTACTTTGTTATCTCTGATAGTTAGTGAATACTTGATCTTGAAGTGGACAGAGTAGGGTCTACGTACAAACAAACCGTACTAACTATTTACACAATGGTAATGTACCCATTCTTTTATAAATGTGTTCAATGAAAGTATAAATAGTACGTTCAGTGTTTTCTGGGAGTTGATTCTCTTCCTCGCCTATCACACAGCGACTGACTCTGTCATGTTACTTAGCCAACCCAGAGCACTTGACACCCGGGCGATAAACTACAGTCAACTTGCTCAAAACCTCACAGTTGTTTTCTTGGCAATATTGTTGTCTAGACTCAAATAAGTAATTGGTTGTTTTCTTAAGGCTTATTGAGGTGATTTTGTGGTGAGAGCTGGCTGTTAGTCAAAATTGGTGAACAATAATTTACGTCAATGTTTATGTCCCCAGTATTGGGGATTTGTATGCAGAGTTCAGTTTTTAATGTGTGATTGCATAAAATGTGGAATTCAGTTGAAAAGCGAATAGTCTCTAAAATCCAGTAAGCCTGTATTTGCGTAAATATGCAGCTAACACAATATTTGTATTTAATTTCGTCACAAGTGTCAGTCTTTGTTATTTACACTTATCTTGTCTGTGATTTGACATACTAAGACAGATAGAAATTGTAGGTTCTAGTCCAATCATGGCGGTTTTTTATCAGGATAAGTTCATCTATAATTATGTACCTAAACTTTACAAGTAAAAATGTTTTTAATCACGTTCTCTGACTCAGTAGTAATTGTAATTGTTAAACAAAGTTTAAAGGGTAATCTTTTTTGGTAATGATGGACATAATATGATAAAACGTCAACAGCTTAGTGTAATTAAGGGATGAAATCACTGATTGGTTGCACTGGAACTTTGATTAACCCCAAAATTTGAATGTCAAAATCATAATAATAAAACTAGAGTTTTCGCCGTTTAGCCTTTAATTTTATTTTCAGGTATTGGTTTTTAAGGATTTGAATGGTATTGTAATTTTAGGTTTGATGACGAAGTGACTTTATTTAGAGAACCATCGGAAACCAAAGTGTACTGGACATGCGTTTCATCCTAGTCTGGGAATCATCGAAAGTACTCACCCACTGGGATTCGAACCTTCCGGTTACAAGGCAAGCTGGTTCGTATACCATTCAGCCACTGAGATCCGATTCAGTGACCAGCTCATGAATTCTAACTTCTACCAATTGGCGATTTAGCGCGATCCCAGCCATTGTCGTCGGTGGGACATCCATCCTCACACGTGACATCTGGATGGACCTTACTGGTCACGACTTCTCACTATAACTTCAGGAAACTCTATCCTCTAGCAAGTCACTAGCAAGCATCAGAGCATCCGTGATCAACTCGTAAAAACATTAACTAACCCTTACAAACCAAACTATAGAAAAACATCATTTATTAGAATTTCTGGTCTTTATTGATTGTTATTTCATAAAATGTCTTTCCATTGTGCAGAAACAGATACAGATCAAATGTTCGTAAATCAACTGAATATGCCTACGATTATGAAGAGGAAGAAGAAGGAGGAGGTAGAATCCACTCTCCAGCTGGATCCTATGCTTCCTTACGTGGGATCAATTCACGTACGGCTAAAGGTGATATGAATTCCATGGGGAATAACAATAACAATATTCAGTCAACAGCCTCTGGTGCTGGTGTTGATCCTGCGACATTAGATCAAATTAATCGAAATATGTCTGATTTACGTTCTGGTTTTGAACGTTTATCTATGCAACAACAAGTTCTTTTAGCTTCATCGTCTGCGACAACAGCTGCTGCTCTAGTTGCGAGTAGTTTTCAACAACAACAGCATCAGCAACAACAACAACAACAAGAACCATTTCCATCAGCAAATTCTTTATCTCAAACACAAGGACTATCTACATCTATATCGAATATATCGACAACACGGGCTACATGGAGTGATAGACCTATTTTACGTGAATTAAGTGTACAGCGTAATCCAGATGTTGTGACAAATGGATGCAATGAAGCAGTTCAAACTATTCTGGATGAGGGGGATACTGATAATGTGATTATTTCAAGTGACCCGGTAAGTTGAGTTCCTGGGACATGTTATCTCATTACTGTGTATTCCGCAATTGTTTCTGCCACTCACTAGGCTAATAACAACCGTTATTAATCTGACTCATTGAAAAGTCTTGTGTTTGTAGGTATATTCATATCAGTTCATTAGGAATTTGCATTATGTAATATAAGTTCAGCTTTATGCTGTAGTATTTGTCTATGTATACGTCATAAATTGTTTTATTTGATCTAAGTATAAAAACTTTCATCTAAACCTCATCGTATACACTTCACTTATGATGAACATGAATATTTATTACTTAGAGTATAGAATTTTCAATTCAAGTGAACTTATATTTTTTCCTTCATGTTCCCATTGGGACATAGGGCCTCAAGCTAGAGGCTTGAAGTTTCTGTAGCAGTGGTGTTTATTTTTACAGGATGGGGTTGCTAGCCCCATGCCCAACCTTTTCGCTTTACCAGTCTCACTACTGGCTTAGGGATGTAAAGGAGTGCGTTGGCCGGGGATCGAACCCCGGACCATGTGCATGGTTGGCGAGCGTCCTAACCGCTGTGCTACCGACGCACATATAGCAGCACCAAATGCAACTTGTATCTATTTATTAATGAAAAGAAAGCCAATTTCTCAAACCTATCTGTGTTATATTTATGCTTAGAATGAAAAGATAAGTTAATGGCGAATAGAAATATTCCTATGATTATACTAAGATCATAACACTAATCTGAGATGTATAATTTAGTTCACATACAATAAAATGAAAAGTTATTCTTCAGGTAGTAATATAGGTGAGAAGTTTTGGTACCCCGTGGCGTGGTGAGGGAACTTGGTTGTTGGAACGTTCTGTTCCCTCCCTAAAGTATAATGAAGATAGGTAGATGACAAATACACAGTACTAAAACAGTATAAACAGGTTTTTTAAACTCATCAAGGTATATGCTCTTCAATTCACGTATAGATTGGAAAGAGAGGAGTTTCCAATGTTAGAGTTAATCGTAAAGAGGAAAGAAGATGGGGAGTTTAGCACTAGTGTTTACAGAAAACCACATTTAAACCGTTATTTGAACTTTTTTTGTTCATCCTACCCCATGTCAGTAAAAAACCAGATTGGCATGTTTGTTTAAGTAATACGACAAAGAAGAGCTAAATAGTATCAAAGACAATCTAAAGCAGGAAGTAAGAGACAAACTTTCTACATTTAATAATTACCCCGATAAATTAATCAGGGAGTGTGTAGGAAATTGTAAAATGAAAATTATTATTGATGATAATAATAAGAAGGAGAAAAATGAGATGCCTGACAGATATGCGCAGAAAAGTTACTGCACCAACAATAGGGAATTTAAAAAAGGGGACCTCTGAAATCGTAGACAGAATTCTTAACCGAAAATGGTTACCGGACCCACTCACTTAGAAAGGACCTCATTAAACAGAATAATTTAGTTTATCTAATGCTTTGCAATGATTTTGTAGTCAAATACATAAGCCTAAGTAGTAGGAAGAGGTCAAACAGATTAGCAGAGCAGAAAAATCTAACGAAATCTAGATTAGTTGATCCTAATAAGATAAGAGTTACACACAAAAATAAAACCGTGATAGTTTCAAATATAGGCGGAATGGATGAAGATATCAAAAGCAACCAGAATCGGAAAGGCAAGATACGCCTTCAACAACCTGAAACCAATTTGGAAATCTTCTGCACTCAAAATAAGGAACAAGATTCAGATTTTCAACACCAATGTCACTTTGGTCGTTTTATACGAGTCACAAACTTGGCGTGTCACGAAAAGGACTTCCAGCAGGTTGCAGTGTTTCGTCAACAGCTTCTTTTGCTGTTCGGCTCCATACTGAAGATCGAATAGCCGACCGGCCAGAAAGAATCAGTAACAAGAAACTCTGTCTGCGGACAAACTAACCAAGAGCCGATCGCTCAACAAATATGTAGGAGAAAATGAAGATGGATCGGGCATACATTAAGGAGACCATCGATTTACATCGCGCGCCAGTCCATCGAGTGGAGTCCGAATGGGAAGCAACGAGTGGGTTGTCCTAGGATGATATGGAAGAGATCGTGTGAGGAAGAGTTTGTGGGCAATCGTAGTCTAAGCTGAAGAGGACGGCAGCAGATAGGAGAAAGTGGAGATGTGTTGTTGAAACCCTATGTTCCACTCTGAACTCAAGGGAATAGTAATATAATAATAAGATAATAAATTTACCAAATAGATCAGCTGTAGCACTCCCTGCAGCTACACATAATCATACAATAGGATTAGCCATGATGATAGTCTTAAAGTCTAATATAACAGAGTGAAGGTAATGATTGACAACTAGAGCTTTATGTATGGAAAGAGGAATGACTCAACGCCTGCCACGGAAATCTGAGAAATTCTGTCCCAACTAATAAAAAATAAACCACATGATAAGAAAGTTGAAACTGCAAGTCAATAAAAATGATCAATAGAGATGTAAATTAACAACCAATCATGACAATGGTTGTCAAGAGATATAATTATATCATTCATGGGGAATTCAAATAAGTTCATTTCATTCTTAAACCTGAGCTGAAAATGTTGTCTAGAAAGACAATGGAAGCTTCGCAATTAAATCAGCCAGCTCAGAGAACACAACTAAATCTACCTGAACTACAAATCTCCATTTTTTAAAATTCTGTTCCCCTTACAGCAACAAAGAAAAAGCATCATAAAATTTGGGTTTCGAAATTGATTTTTCAAAATCGATATGAGCATGAACAGTTAATTATGTTCAAAACAATAAAGGAATTATAATATGCGAAAGAAAATCCTCAGTGTTTAAATTACTTCATTTATGCTTAATTCATAAGCATACGATGGAAAATACTGCATTTACGTTTGTATTTTTCTTAATGTAATCGTATAAGCACACAACTGTCTACAAGTGTATCCATAGTCTTTAATCTTTATATACTTTGATGTTAGTAGTATTGGATTATTATTATTTGACTTCACAGTACATTGCACGTCAGTTTATTCATCAGTAACAGTCCATTTCTGTAATAAATTACATTCTAAATCATTTTCCAGTCCCATGGTGATGATTCTCATGAACACGAAGAGGAGGGTCCTGTTTTTGTCAGTGTTAGTGACGCTTCAAAATCTTCAACTGTACCGTCAAATCCGTCACCTGTAGAAACAAGTCAGAAACAAGTGAAATCACCACTTATCACTGGGCAAACGCCTAAACCAGAAGGAAAACTTTTCTTCATTGGCTTTGAAGAACCTGATCCTGAGGTAGGTAACCATTCTACACATCTGATAATATATATTCAGTTAGTAGAAATTTTGTGATAGAGGTATACTGTTTGTTAGGCAGCTAGTTAGTTAGTGCGTATAAATGCTTGAAGAGCAACATAAAAGCTTACATAAGTCGTCGTCAGAAAAAGAATGACATCTCAGAAATAAAGTATTGTAATATGATTTACAGGGTTCTGATGAATATAAGGCATGAATGTGCTTATGTTACTGCGGTCGATTGTGCACAGTATCCACTGAAGGTATCCAACCATAAACTCTCCGTTATCTGACTCCCTCTTATAATACTTTTACATTAATTTCACGTTATCAGAGAAATCTGTTATAAGCGATTTATTCCTTATTAGGATTTTCAGTCACATTCTGTTGGTATTTGAGAGTCACCGACAGAGAACTGGAAACACTTTGCTCATAAGGATTGCCCATCACTTCAACTGTTGAGCGTCTTTTTGTCGATTGCCTGTGTATCCGTTCCATAAATTCTCAGTTAAATATCCTCCCAATTTTGGTTTTCACAATTCATAATGATCCTTTCATACCAACAATTCGATTACTAGTAGGATGTCGCTAGCTTTCTTGCAGAAGACGATCTTTAATTCCGTCAGCCGAGAGGTTCTGCGGCGATGTGTCGTCTTTTTAGGTATGCCGAGAAAGTATATTTCACTTATCAAGGCACTCCATTCGAACTCGCAGAGCCATATAAGAGCTTATGGAGAGTTGCCATCAGAAGTGATGGCAACCAGAGTTGGCCGCCGAGGATTTTTATTATCCCCATATTCGTATAATTTCATTATAGATGTAGTAATGGAATTAAACGTAACTGGCTTTAGTGACTTGGGGATTGAGTTGTCACCAGAGAACAGTCTTGTGAACTTGGAGTATGCGGATGATAGTGTCCTCTCAGGCGAATTAATGTAGAGTCTTCAGAACATCTTGAGCAAAAAATCTTCATACGTTTGGCACACTATTCGCTCTTGTCAGTTGTAAGATGATGCTGCTGGACTGGACTGAATTCACTCCAACCTTAAAGATAGGGAGTGAAGTGGTAGAGTCTGTAAACCACTTCACTTATTTGGGAAGTTGCATCAAACCCAACGGACTGATTGCTGACGAAATCTTAGCAGAAATAAAAAAGGTTCCTGTGGCATTTTCCAACTTACGCCATCTCTGGCGTTGGTGGGATATTTGGTTATCGATCAAAACATGTGTTTACTGTGCAGCGCTTCGCTCTGTCCTCCTTTATGCCTTTGGGACATAATCGTTCAAAGTGGAAAATATGAAAAGGCTAGATGGTTTTGATTACACTTATTTCTTACTCTTTCCTGTTTTACGTGGTATAATATGGTGAACAATATTCACGCTAAGTCTAGAGCACTAGACAAGGAGAGTTTCAATAAGGTTCTGATTAAGATGTTTAGGACACGTGTTCCGCATGCTGAACCATCACCTCTCTCGGTGAGCAGTGTTATCTGACGTATGATAAGTATGTTAATGGTCTAGTGATGGTCACTCCTTAGGCTCTTTGATATTTGCTTTGAGGCACGTAGAGAGACATGGACTTGCCTGGTTGTGTGGTCCTCAGGATACTAAGAAACAATGGCTAGAGACTATTAGTGATAAAGCTCAATATTCTCGTCAGTGGCGCAGATGACCTCCCATATCCACTAAACCGTCATTTTTATCCATGTTGTTAGTCTTTCCCCACATTTTTCTGTTCATTATGACATTCTTTTCTTTTCTTTACCTTTGTGTGTTGTATGGAGTTTGACGACTTGAACCGTCACGCTTCTGTTCTGAGTTCTATATTTAATAGGCAGGGAGTCAGTCTTACAGTACATTAAGTTTATAAAGTGTATTATATGCACTTACAATATTATAATACTTCAGCTTGGTCTTTTGTCATATATCAGAATTATTTAGAAGGTTATAGGCAAAAGAAGTGATGGCTGGTTAGTTTTTCCTTTGTTATTCTCATGTGAAATTGAGAATGTGAATGTTGATTCGTCTTTTTTTGCGATATCTTCACTAGATGACACATAGGCGTGAGTTCTTCTTTCTTTTGATCAAACGAAAACTATGACGACAGTTGTTTAGAACTTTCATAAATTACCTCTCTGTCTGTCAGTTTGTTTGTTTTCGACGTAGAACTTTGCACCGATGTGCAGCAGTTCATGTCGCCACACTCCCTCCATGTAGCACACAAAGCAACAGAAAAAAGTAGAAGAAATGTATAATAGACACAGTAAACAGAGGTGTGAGACAAAGGAATAGTAATAATAAAGAACAATATAGTTTCATTTGAAGTCATAAGTCACAAGGAGTGAATGCATCTCCGCCAGCCATTGAGAGCGATTTCGAGAAATATCACCAATAGTTTCCAGTTATTGGTTTTTACCGTCCTGAGGACCTCAACCAGTCAGGAAGTCTACACCTTCCTTCCTACGTGACTAGCTGGCTTAAACTAACTGTTGTGGATTTCATTGACTGGTGAGGTCATGTTTTGGTTTGACCACCGCTAGCTCTTTTCCAGTGTGACCCTATGTCAGCTAACATTGCCTGTCGGTTGAGGAAGGTGATCGATGACTAGGCATACGTAATAAATGTCCTAACCATCTCAGTCGATGTAATTTCCTAGCCTCGTCGATTGATTTCCCCTCCCACCTACCTAGAAGTCGACGGAGGCCTAACCTCAATATTGCTCACCTTATTATACCACTTCACACAGGAGATAGAGCACAGGCACCTATGATCAAAGACAGCTAATCATAAATTCCCTAAAGATCTCTGGCTCAGATCATCACTTTTTGAGTGTTATCTTGAAAGCAATTCTTCAAAACCACTTCATCAATTAAGTGATTTCATTCACAATATCTTAACATTATAGGCTTTTTTCTCCTTTATAATAGTTTTCTTTACTCCCCTCTGACGTATTCATTCATTACGCATGTGATGATTGTACATTTAAAATAAGTGTTTATTTCAAGCAACTCACTAATTATTCACATGTATACATCATCAAAATGAATGCAATGGAAAGTGTTTTTCAAGAAACACTGTTTTTCTACTTTCAGTCACGTTTATATATATATATATATATATATATATATATATATATATATATGGTTACTTTTTCTCAATATTTAAATCAAATGCTTTGCTGACATGGATTATTGAAACTCACTTGCATATATTTAACTTTAATATATCTACCAAATTGACTATTTTTTCTTAATATTCCCTGCCATCTCATCTTAAAGCGTATGCAGCGTACTAAAGACCGATTGGAAGCACGTCGAGCTACAGAAAGAGCAATGGTAGCAGAACAATTGGAAGCATTGCGTACTACTGGACGTAAAGAAAAAGAAGCAGCTGATCGTGCTCAGTATGAAAGAAAACTAAATGAAAAAGAAAGACGTGAAGCTGTATTACAAGCACATTTATCTAAGAAGGAAGTAAGTGGAGAAGTATTTCATTTTCTTATTATACATATATAATTTTAATTATCTGGATGAATAAGTATTGTAATAATGCTGCGTACTTATAGTTATTGATTCATATTAAATCCATGGCAAATTTCTTTATGTACCATTGTTACTTGTTAGTCATTTTTAAAATTTTCAAAAGAATGGCTACTGAACAAAGAGTACTCTTTTCGATAACCTGTTCTTCATCAGGTTCTACATTTATACATACATTATAGTGAATGAATGAATGAATTAGTGTTATGAGCAACAATAATGCTGTTTAAATAACATCGAATCAATAATATTGATAGATTACAGCTCAGTAACATCAACATAACAATGAACTGAGTGTCAGAAAAATTAGGAAAGATAATATTACAAATTCATGAATTTATACTCTCCACTGAAGGCTGGTCAGGGCAGAAGTAGTGGCTGGACTTGCTTCTTTTGAACACAGAGCACTGGTTGTTTGAGGTGAATTACAATAGCCTCTGCTGTTTGGAGCATGCGGTGCTTCAATGATTTTGTCAATTTATTAGTCACCCGGTAGATTATAGAGAAGGATTCTTCAATGCTGGCTGGCTGACTGGCTTTGTGTCCGGTTTGCACCAGATGGTCCAATATCGAACTGTTAATGGTTTTCACTACACCTTTACTTAGCCATAGTGGGAGATGTTCTCGAGTGAGCACGAAAAATCAAGTTCGTTTAGCAACGGCCAATATATTTCGCTCCACCATCATCGCAGTTGAATTGGTAGATACAATTTGAAGTGACCAGCTAGTCTATGTACTTCATCTTTCAGTCGAGGAGGTAGCACCATCGGTCGTGTAGAAAAATAAGACGTGTAGTTCACCAGCATTAAAATTTTTTTGAACTGATTTTGTTAATTTCCTCGTAATTATCTCACTAGGTATATCGCCCTTGAATTGTAGTCCTATATAAAGTGGCTTCTTGTTTACAGATAGTGAGTAGTTCTTTTCCGCCTTCTTTGTCATGTGTTTCTTGATAAATTTGTCGGGATAGCTATTTTCAGTCAAAGGCTTAATTCATCTTCAATTACTTCTTCTGAGCATATAGCTCTAACTCTGTGGCTGAGGGTCTTCACTAAATTTCTTTTTACTTGATAGGAACGAAGCTGTGAAAATGTGTTTATTGTCCTGTCCAAGTAAAATCTTATTAATATGTAATATTAAATACGATGAACTGGTACCAGTGTTTATCACAAATGCAAGTCATTCTAAAATATTATTTCCTAATATGGAGATGAATCTCATGGACTTAAGGACTCGGTTTTCGGCCAATTAGTCAAGAATTCGAGGCTCGCCCTGTCTAATTCAGCCTGGGTGCGGGGGTGGTCGTATCATCAGCTGTCACACGATACGTGTTACTTTAAGTCTGGTACATGAGAAATCAGTTTCTCATAATTAAGCCTTTTTTCATCATTATGTATTATTTTCTATTTTATTCCTTTACGTTCCCAATGGGACATAGGGCCTCAAGCTAGAGGCTTGAAGTTTTGGTAGCAGTGGTGTTTATGCTTACGGATTGGGGTTGCTAGCCTCATGCCCAACCTACCCTCTTTTTCAGCCCTGTTACTGACTTAGCCAGGTAAAGGATTGCGTTGGCGGGGATCGAACCCCGGATCACATGTGTGGTTGGCAAGCATTCTACCACTGCGCCAGTGACGCTTACGCTTAGTTAGCTATTTCCTACATTTTGCCAACTGTTATCTTGATACCGTTTTATTCGTCCACCTCACCTACTTATATTGTATCTTTCCTCTTTCATGTTTACACTTCTCTTTCTTTGTACAGATTAACTAGCTATCCAATTCTGTGTACAAATGAATTAACATTTTACTTCTCGGCTGTAAACCATTACTATCTAAGTAGGATGTCAATCATATAATAACCTTGTAATGGACCAATTAGATAGAGGCTAGAAATTAGGCACTATGATTACGTATCAAAACGTGTATATCATTTCAGAAGTAAAGAAAAAGTATTGTGCTTGAAGGTGTCGTAAAATATTCCAGTTAAATGAGTGTTAACCTCTAGATCATGCTGTCTCCAAGGTGTTAAATTCGCCCTCTTCTACTATTGCACACAGAACAAATGGTTAATTTCTTCTTAGTAGCCTCTAATCCTTCTTTTCTAACCTTTCGTGTGTTTCCTTTACTACTCTCTTATTGGAATCATATTTCAAATTGGCATATAGTGTGAACATTAAAATAAACAACTTAGCTTAACAACCGACTTCCATGAATAGCAGCTTCTAATATACTTAACCCGGTTAATTGAAAGTATTTCATTCATCTCTGATGTGTGTTTAAGCACAACTGGATCATAACATTTTTTAGGATATATTCTTGTTTTAATGGTAGAGTCAATGAACCACTGGTCACTGTCAATTTCACTTCACTAATTTACACATTTGCCTATATAAACATCATTTTTCCTCGTTTTGTTGCTTCCTTTTATTTTAGGCTGCTATGTCATCTGGATGTCGTAATCATAATCCATACCCTGTAAGATCTGGTTCCTCAGCACTTTCCAAATCTGAAGTTAATCTATCCACTACAATGCCTAAACATAGTGCAAGTAAAAAACCGTCTACTGCACCAAAACGTGATAGAAATGCACCAGTAGCAGCTTCATTGGATGCCTTTCCATCGTCAAAGCCTAACTCCCGTGTAAATTCAGCTAAATCAAAAGCAGCACCTCCACCAGCTACTACTACACGTGGTAGTGGTGATGGTGAAGCTGTGGATGTCAATACTGAACCTGACTGTGATAGTTCCTCATTTCAAGACACTAAGCTTCACACAAATCGTAATCGTTCATCTAATAATGGTAATACTACCACTACTAATACTATGACGACGACGACTACTGCGGGTGCCACACGTACACCGCTTCCTTCTGGGATTAGTCTATCTTGTAAGTAGATGTCTTAATGTTTTATTCCCGCTTGAGTATAAATATGCATCTTCTATGTAATTTGATGCTGCTGTTCATAATTAATCTTTACTAATAACCGTATTTACTAACAGATACCCATATCTTAGCGTTGGTGGCATAGCGGTTAGGACGCTCGCCGACCATGCACATGGTCCTGAGTTTGATCCCCGGCTGACGAACTCCTCCTTTACCTCGCTAAACCAGAAATAATGCTGGTGAAGAGGAAAGGATGGGCATGAGGTTAGCAACCCCATCCTGTAAAATAAACACCACTGCTACAGAAACTTCAAGCCTCTAGCTTGAAGCCCTATGTTCCACTGGGGAACGTGAAGGAAAAAAGAAAGAAGAAGAAAGACCCATATTTTAAGCTTACATTCAAATGTAAGTTATTCTCAGAAGAATAACCGAAAATGTCCAGCATGCTGCTGCAGTATTCAGATATGCTGAATCACACTTTCACTAGAATTGACTATCTTATTGCCCGTTTTTGATGATATTTAGCATATTGAAATTATATTGTTTCCGTGTCCTGCTTCACATCTAATCTGAAGCATATACATAACCTTTTTTTTAGATTTCTCCAACTGTGTAGACTAAACGTGCTTTCTATTGGTATTTTGATTCTATTTATGTTTGTTTTCACAACGGTTGATAAGCAGCAATAGGATACTTGATAATATAATTAATCAAAATTTTAAATTCATGCCAACAAAATTAGAAAATTGCATCTCTTAAAGCTGTGCTAGGAAATCATAGCTAAATAAGGGTTGAACGCTGAATGAAACATTTCAACTGTTTATAAGGTTTAATTTGGTGGGTGGTGGGTGGTGACACACGCAACACACGTATCCAGAGTATGCATTTCGTCCTGTATTGAGGACTGATCAATTGGATACGCCTGCTTTCCCCAGTGAGTCATCGTGTTTCCATCGACATTTGTGAACCCGGTACTTATTACTTCAAGAACCAGAGCATTTTCCACTTTTTTGCGATAGGCAACAACAGAGGACGAACATTTTGGTCAAATCAACTAAAATTGACTTGAACAAATATTTATAGGCCTGTTTATCAGTGCACATCCGCTTTTTCATTATAGATCAAATCAAAATCCATCATGTCTAAAAGACGTTAATTAGATGGGAATTCAGTTTCTGATCTCTGTCATTATTGTTACCTAATTTCTCTCACACTCTTTTCCGTTGGTCTTATTGGTCATGAATTGCTTCCTAATAAGACTTCAAGAGTTATTCGTATGTGGGTTGTTTCACTGGGTTGAATCGAAAATCTTAATTTTTGTGGCAATGCAGGTACATCCAGTGACGAGTCCAGTATGGGACGAAATGTGAATTCTGGATCCCGTTACCAGTCACCACCAACCAAAAGACCTATAGCCGTACTGATCACTGATTAGTTAAGCTTCAAAGAATTTCAATCAATTTACAGTCCTGATCTCTTGCATTACCGATATCCTATTTTCGATTTGTTTGTGCCTACGCCTGGTTCATATGTTTAGCTTTGGAAATTACCCTGGAGGATAAGCTTATGAGTAAAGGTGTCTTGTCAAGCGATACCCCAATTATCTGTCCTTCCAAAATACTTTCAGAGGCTAATTTCCGTGACACTTCTAAGCAGATAGAACTAAAACTGAGTCAAATATCAAAAACCGCACCTGTAGATATAGATGAAAGTGCAAACCAAGAACCTCCCACAACGTCACCATGGCCTGAAACTCAAGAATTCTTAGTTCGTGAAAGGTCCGACAGTTGCTCATTGGGTTGCTACAGTAAATGCCATAACTCACTCTGCTCCAGCTTCTTGCATATGTGAACGCGTTTGTGAAACAAATACGTTTGAAAATGATCAGCCTGTTTCTACATTTGAAAGTGCCTATTGTTTTTCGGAATACTTGACACCTGCTGAGAGCAAACTCCTGCTCAAGTCGGGGATGGCTTGCTAAACGACAACGTCGGCAGCAGTAGCCACGGATATCTAGTATATGTAGAGTGAAAGGGGCTTCGAATTCATCCATTTTGAATGCTGTCTCTAATTCATTTCCTGCTATCATAAGTCACGATAATCAGTCAATGATGAGGCGTTATTCTTTACCTCCACCAGTTGGCGAAGTGGAATCATCTGGGACTCCAGATGACTCACCAGTAGTAAAGTCAAATATCATGAGTTTTCTATCCTCCAAAAGTCCCAGCCCAAGAAAACAAGTAGACTTATCAAACAGTTCAGTGTGCCGTGTGATCAAAAAGCAACGTTTTGACTCTCTCATGAAGTCTAATCTGGACGTTACACTAGCGCTACCATCAGAGGATGTAAATGATGTTTCAGATCACGAAAATGCTACATTCCTCTACTTCATTTTCGATTTTACATCTACTTGTTTTTACTTGAGATTAGGATCACTAGTTTTCTGAGATAAATCATGTATGAATAGAAGCCATATATATATATATATATATATATATATATATATATATATATATATATATATATATATATATATATATATATATATATATATATATATAGGATTTTCTTTCCTTAATACACAATTACTTGTGAATAATTCTTCTTGTATGATTATTTCACTAGCCAAGATAATTTCCAATTTCTATTGATTGATTTCATTATTCTCTTTGTCTGTTTGTGTGTGTGTGTGTTGTTATGCCTTCTCCGTCTTGTTCATTTCTTTTATTCAATAGAGTATACTGATTATTTCTGGTTACATTTCTTTTCTGTTCTACATATCCACTAACATTTATCAATATTTTCTTTGAATAATTCAATCGGTGAGAATTTCACAACTCTGATAGCTATACCTAATTCTCTCATTTTATGTACAGTTTTCACAGCCTTTGGAAATTGAAGATTGAACTATCTTTGGGAAAGCATGAACAAAAAAAGGTTTTCTCTTATGTTGTCTAAAACACTTCAGATTATAGAGTTTATTATAACGCTCAGAAGTAATTAGATGTGTTTGGCTGATTGTCTCTTTCATTCTTCATTCCCTGAGTTCCAATCGGAATACAGAGCTTCAGTAGCCGTGATTTTGTTTGTTTTGTTTTTACGTGGTAAGGTTATTCTAGTCTCATGCTCAACCTTCCCCCTTTTCCGTGCTTTACTACCCTATGGGGGAGTTGAACGAGGTTTAGGAATGTGTTGTCTGGGTATCGAACGAGGTGCTCCGTTGGCAAGCTTTCCGCCACTAATGAATGACCGGCACACTTGTCTCATTGTAAAACATTCTAAATATTTGTCAGTATATTGATTCCTATTATTATTATTTTCTTTAATTCCTAGAGGGACATAAGGCTTCACCCGTGTGTCTCCATTGCGTTAGGTTCTCTGCTAGAGTTTTCACTTGGCTCCAAGTTTACCCACATGCTTTCATGTCCTCTTCACATGACCTCGTCCATGTCACCCTCTCACTGACGACCAACTCGCCGCTCCCGATTCGGGTTCCACTCGAGGGCTTGTCTAGTGATGTCACTTGATGGTTTATTTTCTCAGAGTATGGCCAATCCACCTCCATTTCTTCCTGCCTATTTGTTTCACAATCGGTTCCTGGTTGGTTCGCTCCTAGAGATTCCTGTTAGTGATCTTTTCTGATTGGCCATCTGATCTTGAGTATTGAGCGAAGACAACTGTTAATGAAGGCCTGAAGTTTGTATGAGATGCGCTTTATGACGCGCCAGGTCTCTGATCCGTTTAGTAGCACTGACTTCACATTGGAGTTGAAAATCCGGATCTTATTTTTGATGTTGAGTGATGTTGACCTCCACACAGACTTGGCGTGAGTAATGAAAGCTTGTCTTGCTTTTCCGATTCTGGCTTTGATGTCCTCGTCAGTTCCGCCTGTATTTGAGACGATGCTTCCCAGGTAGGTGAATGAGGTTGTTTCTTTCAGGTTCTTCCCACTTATGCTGATTGTTGTCTGTTGTTGTTGTTGCTGCTGTTGGTGTTGGCCAGGAATCTTCATCATCTCTGTTTTATCTATGTTCACGTGAAGTTCCATCTTCACTGGATGCTTCTTCTGCCAACTTGTTGCTATTCACTTGCATATCTTCCAGTTTGTGGGAAATCAGACATATATCATCGGCGAAGTCCACATCCTCCAAGTTCTCCTTTTGTGTGAGTCCATTTTATGCCTGTTTCCTCATTGGCCGCCGTTGTCTGTCGCATTATCCAATCTACTGCAATCAGGAAAATCAAAGGAGATAGTAGGCAGCCAGTTTGCCTTATTTCCATCTTCATTTTGAAGGTTTCCGTAAGTTTCCCATTGTGGGTTACTTGGCATGCAGCATTGTCGTACAACTGTTGGATGAGATTGATTCCTAGTTCCCTATAAAATTTTATACTACTTGTCAGTAGACATTAAACCGCTATGGCTAAATGAAACGTTAGATTCTTGAAGAAACAATTACCACTTAGGTATTTACCTTTCAGCTGTTGGTGTTGTTTGCTGATATTTCCCCCTGAAAAATGAGGTTGACCGTCACCAGATTTCCAGGATCTTTTATCCAATATATTTATTGGTTTTTTATTGATTTTATTCCTTTGCGTTCTGAGTGGAAAATAGGGCTTCAAATTTGAGCTTTGAAGTTTCAATAGCCGTGATGTTTCTTTTCACAGGGTGAGGCTGCTATCCTCGCGCCCGACCTTCTCTCTTTAGGGGTATGTCGACTGGGGGTCGAACTTCGGACCACGTGTGTTTCTGGTGTGTGCATTGTATCCGTGAATCACCCCAGTACGAGCGTGTTCATCTTCTCTGTTCCAGTTTTAGACGTTCATTTTTTAAGTAAGCAAGTGGTTTCGTCGATCCTATTAAAAATGGTTCTTTAACGTCACATCAATGAATTCCACTCCTGCCTTTCTTTATCTTCCTTCTCACAGATTAGAAATGAATAATTGTTTCTATCATTCCAGGATTATACAAACAGCTAAATAATGAATAGTTCTCCGGCTTTTATTTATTTTCATTCATCTATTAACTGTAAATGAATTAACCTACTCACTGAAATCCAGCTTCATATTCCTCCTTGATTCTTTTGTTTTCTAGCATTACATCGACTTGGTGCTTCAGAATCACCATCTAGTGGTCCTGGTGTACCTGTTCAGTGCTTAAACCAGCCTCGTTTATTTGTGAAGCCTAAAGCAAAATCCAATCGTACTGTTGTTGTGAATGCCATCAGTCATTGTTGTTTAGCTGGGACTGTCAATGAACCGACAAAACAACTTGCGCTTAAAGTACGTTTAGAATACACATATGTATGTGTGTGTTTCTGTTTCTCTTTTGTCATGGAAACATTTTTTTCTGGTTTTACTGAGAGCTTTTCTAATTTTCTTGTGAAATATTTTGAAAATTCAGGCACTTGTTTGTGTACTATTATACTTAGATGAATAGTTAGTTGCGTAATCAGTAGAAACCTATGCATTGCCTACTCACTTGACAAGCTTGCCGAAACCTCTTCACTTAGAGTCGAAGAGCTAATCCCTAAATAGCTACGGTTAGTGATTTCAATTATGCTGTTATAAACCTTTTTTTTTGATTATATCACTATTATAATGAGTAGATTGCTTTTCTTATAACTTAAACAATAATGAAATGCAGCATTACTAAGGTTATGAAATTCCACAGAAACTAAATAATTTTATCTTCACAATTTTCTCTCAGTGTAGAACATTATGATATTACACAGAGTATCCAATTCAAGCGAACCGTTTCATGTATGTGCATGTTCGATAGTTGAGATGTTGACTGATATGTCTTTCTATTCCAGCAGCCATGAAGATAGATGTTCTCCTACATAGGTAGTATTGGTCCGCGTTTTGTGCTGATCCGTATAAGTATATGTAAATAAGTCTGTAGATTAATGTCTCCAGCAGAGGGATCTTGTCATTAACTCCACGAACAAGAGGAGGAAGACGCAGTCATGCAAGGAAAAACATACTTTGAATTACTTGTGTAATAAGCGAAGAAATACACAGATTACGTCATCCTTGGGGTTTTTAGGGTGATATTTATATGCATAGAAAAAGAAGGATGGCAAGGCATTCACCCATAAGTGGTGTTTTATCGTTTTCATCAACTAACGTGTATAATAGCAGTTACATATCAATAAGCCTCTGAAGAATAAATCCTTTCAACCTTCTCTTTGTGTTAGTCATTTAATGATCGGATTTAGGAGATTACAAAAGGTGAATAATGTACTTATGCTATTGGGAACGATTTTGTTCCATATCACCAACAGACTCAAGCCATTGGTTCTCTTTATTCCGAGAACCGAAACCATACAAACTACATCTGCCTACGTGGCTCAAAACAACTGTCTAAGACTTCATGGGTTTGAATAAAGCAAGAACAACAGTTTGTGCAAAATAAGATGATACCACCATTTATTTCGTTACCTTCTCATCAGCTGCTTACAGCCTAAATAAATTATTAATTTTATGTACAGGAAAGTTTTAACGTACTTGCAAAGTTTACATAATGCCTCTTGACAGGATTTCGGAAATTAGTGAACAGTACTCAAAAAATTACGCTTATATAGTTTTTACACAGGCAGTTTAAGTTTAAACGAAATAAATGTATGCATACAATGGTGAAGGAGTTACGTAATAAAGACGAGAGGTGAGTAAGATGATAAGTAACTAACAAATTGGATGACAATGTACTCAGTTCAACTCAAATCATAGAAACAAGAGACAGGCGAAATTACACTATATCAAGGGAGGTTGTGGTGAGAGCTGGCTATTAGTCAAAATTGGTGGACAGTAACTTACGTCAATGTTTATGTCCCCAATATTGGTCGTGAAAAAAAAAGAGAACAAAGGCTTTGCGTAGGCGGGTACAGTTAACATATAAATGATCTGACATTCAAGAAACAGCCACAAAGAGATGCAAGGTTAACTTTCTGTGAGAAACAACCACCAATTAGAGGACTGTGTTTTCCTGCTAACAATAATCTATAATATGTGCATGAAAATCTATAAATATGTGTTGATTTCCTTAATAAACGATCTGTTGCCTGTCCCTTGTCTTCTGTTGTTACAAGGTGAGTTCAAAGCCACAGATTACGTAATCATTGAAAGAGAGAATAAAGACATCCAGTTACCAGGGCAAGGAAAGACTGACAACCGCCTAATGGATTGATTCCAGGTTTTCGTTTGATCACTCTTAACTCTTTTCCAACTTTATCCTGTATCAGCTAACATTGCTGGTTTAGGAGGGCGGTGGCTCGGCATGCGTATCCTAGCTATCTGAATAGATGCATCTTCACAGTCTCATCGATTTTCTTCCCTTTCCTACTTAGTTAGCACTCTACACCTAACTTTAATATCACTCACCATTTACGAGACAGAATTGCTAATTTATTACTCAACTCTTCACCTACTAATTCGTTTGAAAGTTATATATTTTCTAAATGTTTCCTTCTCTAAAATAAATTCAGTATTGTTTCAATGGATTTATTTTATTCATTTGTCTTTTATTTTATTTTTTTCTTTCATCAAAAACACACAGGAATTAGCTGCTACTGAAGGAACGCACTTTATGATACTCTTTCGTGACTCTCGATGTCAATATCGAGCTGTTTATTCATTTGATCTAGAATCAGAAGAGTTGAAAATTATTTGTGGCAATGGACCAAGAAGAATTACACACGAAATGGTTAATAGGTTTTTCAAGTAAGCCTTATTTGTTTGTTTGTTTGTTTTTTGTCGTTTTTTTTTCTAAAAATTAACTAAACACTGTCGATGTTTAACTCTTATTTTTCAGATGAAATTATCATTTTTCATAATTTGAATTGACGCGTCCTGTTTTAGCACTGAAATCATATTTATTACTGGCAAATTATTTGCTTAGTATTCTCTCCTACTGTCTGTCACACAGTAGTTCTTAGTTTTGTTGGCGTGATTGCATGTATGTTCTGTTGGGAATTTCACAAAGACATAAAAATCTCTATATATATTAAATGTTTGTATTTGGACTCATCATCATCTAGCTGGTCACTGTTTGTCTGTTTTTGACATAGAACTTTGCACCGATGTGCAGCAGTTCAAGTCGCCACACTCCACGTAGCACACAAAGCAAGATAAGAAAGTAGAAGAAATGCATAATAGAGACAGTAAACAGAGATGTGAGACAAAGGAATAGTAATAACGAAGAACAATATACTTTCATTGGAAATCATAAGTCACATGGAGTGGATGGATCTGCGCCACTGAGAAAGATTTTGAGCCATATCATCAATTGTTTGCAGCCATTGGTTTTAAACCGTTCCGAGGACCCCAACCAGTCAGGAAGTCTACACCTTCCTACGTGGCTGGCTGGCTTAAACTAACTGTTGTGGATTTCATTGACTGGTGGGGTCATGTTTTGGTTTGACCACCGCTAGCTCTTTTCCAGCGTGACCCTATGTCAGCTAACAATGCCTGTCGGTCGAGGAAGGCGATCGATGACTAGGCATACGTAACAAATGTCCTAACCATCTCAGTCGGTGTAATTTCACAGCCTCGTCGATTGATTTCCCCTCCTTACCTTGCTGGACACGACGTGATTGAAGTCCACTTTCTGTTAGCTAACCGGCCGACTATTAGACACGAAGTTATTTTGGCGGATGGTAACTAACGGTGAGATACATGATGTTTTATTTTGGGCTTGTCAACCGGATGTACCTGCATTCCCAGTGAGTCGTAGATAGAATGAAACGCGTCACCTGGATTTCGCTGATAGTCTCATCATCAAACTAATCAAATTAACTTTACGTTAATCCTAAGACTTCATCAGAACATTCGTACTATAAGTCAGCATGTCCACAGAGGCCGAGCTTCTCAGTTCAATTTAAGCAGTCAACGGGAAATGTAAATTAGCCTAATAACAAATGACTACTAAACACTTTCATATATATACTGAAATTATGTCTAACAAAATGGCGATTTAGAGTGATTGACAATTCACAATGCATTAATTGGATTCATTTTGAATCAGTGGAATTGTGTATTTCGTGCATGCGATTGTTAACACGTTAAGCATACAGCCAATGCTTGGGACAGACAACTTATTGGCAATATTTTCCCTATGATGCTTCCTGTAGTAAATGGAAATAATAACATCTGATAATGAATGACTTGAAAATCCACGTAGAAAAATCAGTTGAACAGACGAAGCGTGTTCTTTTTGATAAACTTCTTTTCATATGTAACAGTCATATACATACTGCGGCTTTGTTCTTTCTTAATTGGACAATTAATCTACGCACAACAAAATGGCTCTCAAAGTAGGTTTCTGTGTGAACAGAATTCAGTTTAAGAACCATTCAAACTAGAAGACGGTGAACAGTTTATTCGTCCTGGTTTTGAGAAGAAACTTTTCAGCAATACACACCCATGTCTCTATCCCATAGGTTGAACCAATGATATCTAAATTATAAGACCTGTATTACTAAACGGCCCCAAACTAAGATAAAACAGTTGCTTATTGTAAGGGGGAATTCGTGTATAAGTGTTTTTCTTCGATATAGGCAAGGCTGTCTACAGGAATAAAACTTTGAGTACATTCAGGATATGTATAGGCATAGGACTAAATGGATGTGCACCTACCGAAATGTTTATACACTGCACAGAATTCTCATTACAGTCTACGGCATCGCATTTTCTCCTTACCCAGTATCTTCAAGTAAAACAGCCGTCTACAGTGTATGCTGTGACGCAACGCATTTCGATCTGAAGCATAGACTCACCCTTTTTGATTTTTCCTTCTTCATCTACAAGAAATGTTCACCGGTAGTTTGAAAGCCAAGTGAAAAATGTGCCCGAGTACATATTATGCCTCAAGGACATAACTGACTGGTTAAAACAATATGAATTAGGGAGAATATGATTCATTATGTTGGATGAAAATTCAGGTAACTCGACGAACCATTCAAGCAAACCTCCAAAAAAGCATAACACCTGACAACTTATTTTCTTCGGAAATTTAAAGCATTTAGTTTTCTCTTACTTTTTTCTTTGTTAAAACTCATCTTCTTGTTGCTCATAGAGTAAAACAAACGGTATTATTAGTTGTTTATCCCTAGCAAATATCTTAGTGATGAAAGTATCTAATCCAAGTGTTGCGTCATAAAACCTATGCTTACTATTGTTGTGTCTGTCTGTACATATCTTATTCTCTTATATATATATATATATATATATATATATATATATATATATATATATATATATATATATATATATATATACATTACAATACTATCTTTTTTTTCAATGTCTACAGATACAACAGTGGAGCAAAACAATTCACTGAAATCACCTCGACAAAACACCTGAGTCCTGTTGTCGACGCTGTAACAATTCACGATGCTCTTTGGATTAAATCCGGTGGTGCACATACACTTTTGCCAAGTCATTGTTCTTAATAATTGCATACACACTTATTATTTCTTAAATATATAAGAAAAAGCAGATTTTACAACTAGAAAAAGAAATTAAAAGTAAACATTTTCCTCAATTCAATTATACATAAACATCAGCTTGTTTCCACTCACATTTCTCCTAACTGCTTCTTGGGGTGATGGAATTTTAACTATCGTCTGAATATATATACATATTATTTCTTCATATTATTGTTTATTAATTATGTAATCATAATGAATGACAATAATGCTTACTATGCAAATGTTCATATATGATGACCAGGTGATATAGCCTCACTTGTATCTCCTGCTTCCTACATATATATATATATATATATATATATATATATATATATATATATATATATATATATATATACAGATTTCCTAATGTAACAAAGAATCTGTCTTTACTTAGTGTTTCTTGTACTATTTTGAGCCTTATATGCTTTCTCTGTGCATATACACAGACAAAACCAGATAAATTCAACTCAATCTCCTTCAATATTTTTGAGAACTTCAATAATGAAACTTTTTGCTTAAAGAAACATGAATACATAAATACTCCCACAATTATTTGAATGCATTATATGGTGTGAGTGCTACGGTTATTATTATTATTATTATTATTATTATTATTATTATTATTATTATTATCTGAATGGAATGTCTTTCTGCCTTTTTCTTCTTTAATGTTTTTCACACAGTGTCCATGATTGTAGGCATAAACTAACTAACTTACTTACGTGTTGTTATTTTCTTTCCGCTTTTCCCTTCTTTTTTTTTCTCTTACAGTACACTTCCGAATTTACTAGATGAGATAAGTTAAGGTTTCTATCGTTGTTGTTGTTGTTGTTATTATTGTCTTCTGCATTTCCCTTTTAAATTCTCTACTTGTCTGCCCTTTTATTGTGTGTCTTTTAATGTCTGTTGTTCGGCTTTAGTTTAAATTATTCAACACTGTGTTGTCTTTGTGTTTATCCTTGTGAGTCTCTCTGTGTGTGTGTGTTTATCAGAGGGAGAGAGAGAGAAAGTATGTTGCTTTTTCCGGAATAATGGATTCCTCATCTTGCCTTATCTTAACTTATCTACTTATATAAATAAATTGCTTTCCATTTGTGAAATTATTACCAGTTAACATAACTTAATAAAGAAAAACTTTCCTCTACAATTCTTTTATTATGGTTGTCAACCTCAACATATTGCATAACTATTGTTACTACTATTATTTATTTTAGCAGTTGTGATAAAAACACTAAAGTCCAGATGGCTGAATTTAGCATTTTAAAATTGATTTTTGAAAAAAAACGAAAAGACTTATTACATACATTTCTATATATATAGGTAGTCCACGTATGCATAGAATACTGGTGTTTCTCTCTTTCCCTTTGCATATTATGACGTTTGTAGTGATGCTGATGATAAACAGTGTTACGCTTAACTTTTTGTGCCGTTCTGCCTATATCGTTATGAAATTCAACTTTCTATTGATTTTGGTTCTCCCGTCTATCAAGTTGACATAATTATGTATGTTATCTAATAGAGAAGAAGAGTGTCTTCTCTTGCTTTCGGTGCATATATAAATATTATTGTTATTATTACTATTATTATTATTAATTCATATATTGGCTTGGTTTTCCCAATGTTGTATATCTGTGTAAGTGTAATATAGGGAGGACAGGTTGATATTCGTCTATTGTTGTAACCTGTTCTAACATCTGGTTCTCCTGTTGCTGTCGTTCTTGTTGTCGTTGTGTGTGTGTGTGTTTAACTGTAATTTTCCAATACTCATGAGATCATGTATGTCAACTGCTACTATTCTTAAATATGATAACTAATTCAGAATAAAACTTTAGTGAGCACTATTTCGTTATCTCTACCGGTTGGCTCTTTTTTTTCCTATATTCCCTATAAACATAGATTTCATGTTACATTGTGCTTGATTTCACAGGAAGATCTCTATACGTGTTTATGAGAAAGAAAAAAAAACTTTGAAAATAGCTTTAAATGTGATTTCTGTAATTAAAAGTTTTATTGTTCTTTTTATTATCGAGAATTTCATTCTTATATATATATATATATATATATATATATATATATATATATATATATATATGTCAACTTAGTGTGTATTCTGTGTCATTCACGTTTCACTGAATATATATATATATGTCTATCTCTCTTTGTTTTTCCGAAGTTTAATTTCCGAGTTGATTATTTGATGAATAGTATTTCACACTATTGAACTGATGTAAGTTTTGTGAATCATTGAAAGCCAGGAGACACTGGACACTATTGTTTCGTCCCAGCTTAAGAAAATGATTCCCAAACTAACATTTGAATATAATTACGAGTTCATCATGGATTGATATCAGCTAGAGAACCATTGAAAACCAAGGAGTAATGGACAGCTGCTATTTCATCCTAGTTTGGGAATCATCGGGAGTACGCACTCACTGGGGTTCTAACCCAGAACCTTCTGGTTACGAGGGAAGCTCCTATACCATTCAGCCACTGGGAAGTTAGAATTCATCCAGTGGCCACTGAATCGAGTCCCAGTGGTTGAATGGTATACGAGCCAGCTTTCCTTATAACCGGAAGGTTCTGGGTTCGAACCCTGGTGGTGGGTGCGTACTTCTGATGATTCCCAAACTAAGATGAAACAGCAGCTGTCCAGTACTGCCTGTTGGTTTTCAATGGTTCTCTAGCTGATATCAATCCGTGATCAACTCGTAAAAAAACATAACTAACCCTTACAAACCAAACTATAGAAGTGTCGTTTTTCACATATCACTGATTCAAACCACTGTGTGGTAATGATGGCTCAACAGTACAATGCTAGCCAACCAGGTACCTAGTCCGGGGTTCGATTTCTGACCACTAGCACACTCCTTTAGCTTCATGAGCCGGTAATAAGCACAGTGGAAAAGAAACGTGGGACGTCAGGCTAGTAACTCTATCTCGTTAAATGAAAAGAAAAAAAAACTCCACCACTACTGAAACTCTGAAGCCTTATATTCCATTTGAAATGCAAAAAAATGAGAAGAAAAAAATCTGTTCTCTTTTGTATATTGAAATCAAAGTAAATTGCTATTGAATTAAATCTGTTTACATTCATCAATGTTCAAACACAACCTTGTTTTCCAATTGCTTAAGTTTACCTCATTCGCATCTTGGTGAATTCTCGACAAAGTACATCACATAAACTGATTTCCTAGTGTTGGTTTTGTAGGGATTTGGTTTGATTGTATGGAGGATTTAATCATGAGCTGACATCAGTTAGAGAACCACTGGAAAACCTGGGAGTACTAGACAGCTGTTTCGTCCTAGTTTGGGACTCCTCATCAGTACGCACCCATCGGGGTTCGAACCCAGGACCTTCTGATTTCATTTAGTTGAATTATGCATAATTTCCCTGGGACATCGTCAGGTATATCACAACTGGTTTTTCAAACTCCTCGAATATGACTCCATTTAAAGAGAATGACTTTGAACAGAAGAGGATCTAGTTCTTAATTAAATAGACAGTTAGTGACCATGCGAGGAATAATCAGAATATTAGCTTGTTGTGAATACTGGTCATGGCTGATTGGTGGTATATTTACCAGATAAGTAATAAAATCTATGCTTCATATGTTAAATGTTCTCCGAGTGTATAAGACATTTTCCTGGAATTGTTTACTTCTCCAACTGCTAAAACGTTCAGCGACACAATTTGTTATAAATTAACTGTGGCATATAAATAATTTAACTTTTTCTTATTCTAGTTTCTATTTTACTAAATGAATAACGAAAGAAATTCATTTCAAAAAGTGTTTTACCGTTGACACTGCAGTAAAATTTACGTATATACGTGAAATATCAATATAAGTATAAAACTTGGGCACTGTGGTAGAGTAAAACTCCATTACAGATAAGATTTTATTTTGATAAATCACACAGTGTTGTTATATTAACTGATGCCCGCGTTTCGAGCACAAATTATTACTGTTCATTATCATATCAAGTTACTCACACAACATTTTACTTCATTTATATATAAGGGTGGAGTTGACTAGATATTTAAATAAAAATCGATGTAGGATAATGTACATTCAGAAATAATTATAATATGAGTGTTATTGATCAATTTCAATCAGATGGGAAATAAGATGAATGTTTATATAGTCAACATAAGTAACTTGTTAGGATGTTGTGATGTGCCTGAATTGAAATAGAATTTTGAGATTATTTATTATGCTCCTCTGATTTGACTGGCGGTAATAATATCTTCCATTATTCTGGTATTTCTATTGAGTCATTTCTATTGCATGTGTTGGGTGTAGACTCAATGAACCAGGATCTAGTAATCAATCTCTCTCTCCACCTACACAGATTACTTCTTAGAATCTTAACCCTCTTCCACCCTATTGTGTGGATGTGTGTTAATGCATGTAGTGCGATTGCTGAGCTTTTTTCTAAATTACTTATGTTCCGCCAATCTGATTACCCACGATCTACTAGTTTGACCTATGTAGTTGACCTCACTCACAGTCATTGCAGGGCATTTTGTAAATTATATTATTTTGTCTAATTGGGTCCACCAGGTCCTTTAACCTACAGAGCCTGTCTCTGAGTGAGTTTTAGGTTTGAATGCCACCCTAATTCCTGCTTTATTAAGAATCCTACGTAGTGTCTCAGATGTCCCCTCCTTATATGATATAACAGTAGATGACTTATATTCTCTCTTATTTATGTTATCATTACTAGTCTCACAATTATTTTTATTTTGCCTTTGGCCTTTACTGATCATCCTAATGAATCTTATAGGATAGTTATTTAACACCAACGACTCTTCTATCTGTTTTATTTCATTATTCAAGTCTTTCTTTGTGCTACTTATTGTTACTGCTCGGTTTGTTAAGCACTTAACTAAGCCTGCCTTAACATTTAACGGATGATGTAAAGATATCTGCCAAATTAAAACAGCTTAGATATGTTAACATGTTATATAAAGAAGTTAGAACATTTATTCAGAAGACTGGATAAATATTACTTTAAATATAGTCAGTATCAGATGATTACACTGCAGCTAAATTAATAAGAAATTTTGTCGTTACTCGTCACCGTACTTATTAAACTTGATTTCTGGGTGTCCAGCTATAAACTAGGGTTTATCTTCCCTTAAAAGCCCGTATTACAGTATAACAGCATATCTATGTAATGCAATCAGACTATAAGATGGATAGGTCACTTCCAAGTTGATTGCAATGAATTAATTGAAAAATCTCTAAAACTATGTTGGATTGAAAAGAATCAGTTAAACAAACCCACAAGATATATTGTTCTGCAATGCGATCGC